GTTCCGAAGCGGAATAGAGCAACAAAGGACTGAGCGAGCGAGATGTCACTAGCAGCAACACTGTGATAAAAGGAGACACGTGTAGGCCAAGATGTGCGCCGCGATAAGTGGTTATCACGCCATTTTATCGATTTTGCCCATACATTTTGACGTCGATAAAAGTTATCACGGCGCGCATCTTAGGCCTACTGATGCCGACGCCGTCACGTCAAACAGAACCGATTCTTGCAACTATTTGACAGTTCGGAGGCACTTATTGACACTGAAAATTTAAACTCTGAGATATTTTCAGATTTTACGTGAATGAAATCGTGGATGTTTATGAGAAATAGTGCTTCAGAAACTTGGTAACTTGTTCAGTGATTGATTTATTGTACAAAGCAGTGAAATAATCCTGACACACAAAACTTGTGTGATATCATATAATGATATCCAGTGTCATCCAAAATCGGTTTCGTTTGATAGCTCGTGGTTGTTGCTCTATTCCGAAGGAATAATGTGTGTGTATGCCAATAAATTATTTATCTATCTATCTATATTTTCCAGAGCGAGGAACAAAAGGCGACCGAGGAGCGCGTGTTCCAAGACCGGCAGTACCAGATCGACGCCGCCATCGTGCGTGTCATGAAGATGCGCAAGGCGCTGTCCCACAACCTGCTCATCTCCGAACTCTACAACCAGCTCAAGTTCCCCGTCAAGGTGCGTGTGCGAGCAGGGTTTTGACGCAGAACGTCATCAAAAATGTCATCGCGAATTTGGTCACTTTCTCAAAAAGTCACTTTCGCTGAATGTCATTCACAAATTTTATTCCTGTATATTTTTTGAACAGTATAATATTGTGAATGACATTCTGCGAAAGTGACCTTGCGATGACATTATTTTTGCGAATATCTGCGTTAAAATTGCTCGCAGGTTCGTTTCCCAGCCGGGACACGCCTGCTTTGATTGCGTCGGCATGCTTGAGTCAACATTTACAGAAAGAAATGTCTCTTAGAGGATTGGAGAATAATGGCACTAGAGGAGACCTAGGAGGGTAGTGACGTCGATTTTTGGAAACCTATTATTAACATCAACGAGCTCGCAGCAGCGCTTATTTGTCAGCTCGAGACTTGAACTAAAAACGCGCACGACAATGTTAAAACACTTACAAACTCTCTTCGGTCTCCCTACCACTCAGTTGGCCAAACCACTTTCAAAGTAATAAAGTTTCCAAACATGTATAACTACAGGTATAATTTAGAAACAACATTTATCACCTGATACTTCTAGTTCAATCATAACTGCTAACTTTAGATCGTGGAGGGCATTTAATCTAAACCATATAATGTAATTACAACAATATTTTTTCCTCCAGCCGGCCGACCTCAAAAAGCGGATCGAGTCGCTGATAGACCGCGACTACATGGAGCGCGACCGCGACAACCCCAACCAGTACAACTACGTCGCCTAATGAAGCCCCGCCCCCTACTCTGTTACCTATGCTCTACTAATAAACGGCTATCAGACATACTGCTATTTGATTCGAATCGATGTATTTATATATTAAAGTATGTACTTTATTGGTATGTATAGCGGAAGCGTGCGTGCAATTTTGAAACTTACACCGTTGGTTTTCACGGTGAAAATGTATGCAGGTTTTTGTATGAAGCTAATATGGGGAGACAATGTGATGTTGATTAGCTGCGACCACACCAAACGATCCGACGCGCGCTGTCACGAGACCCTACTAGGCCCTATGCACGATCCGATGCGAGTCCGCGCGAATCGCGATCAAAGCGTGGATCCTCTGGCGTGGACCCGGCTATCGATTGATATCTAGCGACTTTGGAAGATCACTACACTAAAAACGCACTATACGAACTTCAAAACGAATGTAAATATTCATGTTGTGAGAATAAAATATACTTAATGTCATTGGTGAAATGAATACAAGTAAAAAGAGACTTATTTGCGAATTATTCTTAACTCTTACTACTCTATCCGAAAAGACAAAGGCAATGTATTGTGACTTCATTGTATATTAATTAAAAATGACTATTAAATACTGCAAGTTAATTTAACCACATCACTATAGTTTATTCAGTAATGCTGTTGTTCCAAGTGTATGTAAAATAAAATATACCATTCTTGCGTCTTCGTGTGGGTAACGAACAAATCCTTATAAGCCGTTTAAATATAGGAAATAGTAATCAAAAGACACCGTTTTAGTTATTGCATTGTTATGATTTACAATCATACACTTTGTCATCATTAGAAATTTTAAAATAATTCAAATCATAACTTTGTTTACCAAAATGGTGTCTTATAACAACACACAGTTGATGAAACATAGCAGAAGTCGCAAATTAATTTCCTTCACATAATAAATAGTTACGCTCTAGTAATATAACGTGTGATATTAGGAAACGGCCGCCCTCCAGAATTTGGCTGAAATATTATTTGCTTACTTTTGATGTTTGAATGTTTTCTTTTGATGCAATATCATTCCCGTTTGTGTAAAAAATAAAAATGACTCCACACAAAATTTAATTTTATGTGCAGTTGTTTTCAATATATTTATTATTTTAGCAGAATTTCTTTATAAAATATATTTATTTGTGACGCCTTAGTAAGTCAGTAATAAAATACGAGTGATATGCGTAAAATATTGTGTTTCTAATAATTGCTAATAGAGGTAATTTCAAATAATATAGTTTTTTTTTGCACTGCAGTTACAAGAATGTGAAGTTTTCCACTCGAGTGTCCTGTATGTTATGCCTTAAAAACATATTTTCAGCTTCCAGACATATTTAATAAAATGTCTATAATTTTTACGAGCAGTCGTCCTGGAGGGGTCACCAATTAAAACTATTTATAATTTTCAATCATTGTTTTATTTTGAACGTCTACGAAATAAATAATAAAAACATTTATTTACACTAAAAGATCTTTTGGTAAGGAGGGTATTCACTCGGTGCGTTCACTGTGCGAGATCTTCCAGCAAGCAATCTTTCGCAAACAGTTCAGAAAGCCAGTAAATCTAGCTATTAGAATTCTGCCTAGTATGATACTCGAAATGCGAATGCTTCCAAGTGAATATCCTTCTTAAAACATAACTATACAATGAGCAACTATTTGATCTAGGAACACACGCCCTCCTCTTAGAGGAATATTTCGTGACTCCCTTTAACCATACTTTTACTAATCGCTGGTTGAAACAAGGAAGTCTCTTTTACATTTTATGATCATACAGTCAGCGTCAAATAGTTCGAAACACCCGAAGTAGCCAATATGTTAGCAACAGGTCTGTTACATTGGAATAAGGTTGTTGTCCACTTTGTCACGGTGTCACTGACTTTTTGACGCTGACCGTACAATGAAGCAAACCCTCAAAGACAATATTTACAATCTGTACAAGTTTAATCGACTATTTATTGCTGATCACTAGCTAGATAAAAGGCAGTGTAAAATTAGTTTGAGAATCTCTTTGTACAAACTTTCATTACTGTACTTCTATGAAGTTAGATTGTGATACAAAGAACCTTCGGAATCATTCGCAGTAGTTCTAAAAATGACTACTTGATCCATAACAAAAAAACATTGCCTATTTAATCATCAAATTGCACTTCCGTTATTTACCCCGTTTTAGCACCAAGGAATACACATTTTTATATGTCAACCGTTGACAACAAATGATAAATTATATTCGAGCACATGTTCTGCACCAAAAGATTGTACTAATAGGCATAGAAAGGCTTTTAACAACTATTATATTTAATTACAGTTTTGGAAGGCGTCATTGATGTCCGCCATTCTGCAGACTCAAAATAATTTAGCCTATTTCTGAAAATCACTTCACTTGTTTTTAAAGCCGAGCGTTGTTCTTCTAAAAATACCCCTCATTCCTTTCCTGTGTCGTGCCATGCCATTCCAGTCCTTAGCATTAAGACTAAAGGCTTCCACAGACCAAACGCGGGTCAGAAGCAGTGCGGGTCAGTTGCAGCGCGGCTGAGGCACACTGAAAGCAGCGCAGTTTCAAAGCAGTTGCAACGCGGGCCGTTGTCAATTTAAATATTCGAAAACCGCTTTCAACGCGCTGCTACCGCCCTGCGTCCGGTGTGTGTGTATGGCCGCCATAGTAATACAACAGCGCGGGCCCGCGTTCGCGCCGCTTCTGTCCCGCACCCGCGCCGCCTCGTTTGTCGTTCGGCAGTTGCAGCGCGGCGCGGTTGGAGCGCGGGCTCGCGTTCAAAGAAGAACGGTCATCTGTGACCCAGGCCCGACAGAAACGAGACATACCACAGTTTTTTTGTCATGTCTTAATTAGTTAAATTATATATTTTTTATATTCGAAATCTATGTATAACACCAAAATATTACCCTTTGTTTTTGTTCAGGCGTTATACAAAAATTAAATTATTATTTTGTATTAGACAAAATGACTATTTATCACCAAAATTGGTAAATTTATGTACCTAAATGTCTATTACAGCTGCTATGGAATGTATCTAGGTAACCTGGAGATACAGCCGGATTATACAGGGTGGAAACGAGAAGTTACAAAATTCCAAAAATTCAATGTTACCAGCTTCCATAATCTGTAACCTGTTATTGGTACCATTTGAAAGAGCTCGTGAAGCACTTTCAGAATCAGTAACTAGTTTTTCGATATCTTGTATAGTTTAGAAATAATCGAGTGAGATCACTTATCGTTCCATATGTATAACCACCCTGTATAATCCGGCTGTATCTCCAGGTCACCTAGATACATTCCATAGCAGCTGTAATAGACATTTAGGTACATACATTTAACAATTTTGCTGATAAATAGGCATTTTTTATTAGTTTTTGTATAACGCCTGAACAAAAACAAAGGGCTATATTTTGGTGTTATACATAGATTTCGAATATAAAAAATATATAATTTAACTAATTAAGACATGACAAAAAAACTGAGGTATGTCTCGTTTCTGTCGGGTCTGGGTTTTTTTTTGTATGGGGCGTGACCGTTCTTCTTTGGTGTGACATACTTCAAAGAGTTTCTTGTATTACAACTCGCGCGGGCCCGCATTCAAACTGCGCTGCTACTGCCCAAGGCTTTAAGGACTTCTGTGTTCACTTGTTGATGACTTTGAGCACGGTGTCGAGGTGGTCCTTATGGTAGTCCAGCTCTTCAGCCAGCGCGCTCGCCAGCGAGTTCGGAGTTATTTCTGTGCCCAAGTAATCAGTCAGCAACGCCTGGTAAATAAAGCAATAAGAAATACATCATTTGGAAAACATGAAAGAACAAGTGAAAATATTACGGAAGTTCATTAGATGACGGTTTTAATTGGTGCTATTTTGGTTTGAAAAATTAATGGCTGTCCAATGTGTAAAGGCTGTACAAAGAATTAACAACAACCACGAGCTGTCAAACGAAACCGGTTTCAGGATGTCACTGATGTCATTTGTGAGTCAATTGTCACTACAATTATCAATCACTGAACCAGTCACCACGTTTCTGAAGCACTATTTCTCATAAACATCCACGATTGCATTCACGTAAAATTGGAAAAAATCTCAGCTCAAGTTTTCAGCGTGCCAATAAGTGCTAACGAACTGTTAAATTGTTGCAAAAAACGGTTCTGTTCTGGTTCTGTCACGTCGCATCACGCATCTCTTTTTATCAAACAGTGTTGCTGCTAGTGACATTGCTCGCTCAGTCCTTTGTTTCTCTATTCGGCTAAAGTCTGTTCGCCGAGAGTTGATAAAAAAAAATATCAGANAACGCGGGCGGTTGTCAAAAATTTAAATATTCGAAAACCGCTTTCAACGCGCTGCTACCGCCGTGCGTCCGGTGTGTCATGCTAATATGGCCGCCATAGTAATACAACAGCGCGGGCCCGCGTTCGCGCCGCTTCTGTCCCGCACCCGCGCCGCCTCGTTTGTATTTCGGTAGTTGCAGTGCGGCGCGGTTGGAGCGCGGGCCCGCGTTCAAATTTGGTGTGACATACTTCAAAGAGTTTCTTGTATTACAACTTGCGCGGGCCCGCATTCAAACTGCGCTGCTACTGCCCAAGGCTTTAAGGTCTTCTGCGTTCACTTGTTGATGACTTTGAGCACGGTGTCGAGGTGGTCTTTATGGTAGTCCAGCTCTTCAGCCAGCGCGCTCGCCAGCGAGTTCGGAGTTATTTCTGTGCCCAAGTAATCCGTCAGCAACGCCTGGTAAATAAAGCAATAAAAAATACATCATTTGGGAAACATGAAAGAACAAGTGAAAAGATTACGGAAGTTCATAAATGACTATTATTGTGCTATTTTGGTTTGAAAAATGAATGGCTGTCCAATGTATTCTGTACAAAGAATAGAGCAACAACCGGTTTTAGGATGTCACTGATGTCATTTGTGTGTCAATTGTCACTACAATTATTTATCAATCACTGATACTCAATCACTTGTTCAATTTCTAAGAACGCCTCGTTTTGTTAACTGCACTCTGAAACCCAAGATACAAGCTATACTGCTTAGTTTGGGTCTCACTGGCAAATATTTAAATAGGTTAGAATTTAGTGCATAGCTTAAGTACATTGTTATCAAGAATATGTATTTCTTTTTTGGAAAACAAATATTTATTATTATTATTACTGAACCAGTCACCACGTTTCTGAAGCACTATTTCTCATAAACATCCACAATTGCATTCACGTGTGACTTAAATACATCAAAGTAACTTGTGTAGGGTAGCCCAATCCTTGATCTAGGTCGCCGCCTTTTCGAAATTTTAAATAAATACGTAAAAAATTGATAAACAACATTTAAAATGCAGACATATGGAAAATTTATTTCTTCGAGAACTTTGTTAATTTAACGTATGAAGCAATAATTTTTAAATGGAAATGCTTAAATTAATATTTGGAAGGTCGCCCCCTTTTTCGTTTTTGGAATTAATGCATTAATATTGAGAATTTTTGATTTTCCCAAAAAAACTTTGCCGTGAAGAAATCATCAGGCGTTTTGCTTTATCGTAGCTGTCAAGTGTCAAATGTGTATTTGTCAATCCGTTACAGAGAAGTGTAGAGCGCAGAGCATGCAAATAGTATCTCTTTTGTTATGACTTCGATTGTTACGAAAAAATATTTAACTTATTTTATAGTTNTCGGCGCTGCACCCCCTTAAATCTAAGAATTTTCTCAACTAACTATTTGCCTAAGGACCTATGCTATAGAACTATAAATGTTTGTTATATCGTTTTCACAGTATTTTTATAAAAATTTTAGCTTGTAAACTGATGCTAAAGAGGAAATTTGAAAACCTGTGTGGACTTATCTTGATAGAATTCTTAAATACTATACTAATCGAAATATTTTCTCAACTAACTATTTAGACGACGAAATTGCCTAATTATTTATGCCTATAACATATTTGTAATGTAACTGGTTAATGATTGTAACGGGTTGAAAAAGTACTGTTTTTGCGCCAAACGGCGTAAACGCTCTTAAGCGACAGTCGCTATAGTAAGACATTTCATAATATTTATCAACTCTCGGCGAACAGACTTTAGGTATATTAACTTTATGGTCAGTACCTTGGGCGGCACGGCGCCCCCGTGTCGCAGCACGCCGCGTCGCAACGCGTCTCCAGCGGCGCGCGACAGCGGCTCGGGCTCGAAGTTCCGTTTCCACACGCTCCAGGCGCACGCGCGCGATATTAGGTATGAATAGTACTTCGCCCCGTAGCCGATAAGGTGGCTGAAACGGTGCTGCCACGCCTGCGGGAAATAACACCTAGTGTTAACATTTTTACAATATTTATTTGAGCACAAACATAAATACTTTTTCTACTAAGACCTATTTAGAGCGAAAATGTATTGCTTAAATTTTTTTTTTTGCTATTTTTACATATAGCAACATCAATAGAAGGTTGAGTTGCACCACCAAACTTTGATCGTATCTATAACGATGACCGGTGATTTATGTATGGAGTTTGACAGATTTTTGTCGTTTGTTACAGTCAAAGTAAGATGGTGCAACCCAGCCTGCTTAGTGAACGCCAGACCTACGTCATTTTATAAGAGTTGAAAATTTGTCAGCAGCGTTAGAATGATGGTGTATCATGAAGTTTGGGTCATTGTGGCTTTGGCACCCTCAAAAGACTGTCTGGCAAGGAGTTGGAAATTAAGCCACGATAGCCGAACGGTGAAGGGGTCGGACTGGCCGACTCGTGAACCGGGGAACGCGGGTTCGGTCCCCGCCGCCGCTCGACTCTTGTTGTGAGCTCACTCGTGATACAAGCATAATAGGCTAGTTTCCTAAAAAAAATTTTTTAGTCCGTCATGTTTAATATCAAAAAATATTGGACACATATATTTTTATTTGTCAATCTAACAAATAATTACATAGTTATGGTGCGTTGAAGTTCCGCACGACGTCACAACGTGCGGCACTTTTATGCACGCATTGACGTCACGGGCCTCTTCTTATGAACTTTGGCGCGCTTTATCTCTTTAAATTTTCATTAGTTTGAAAAAGTGAAAAATACATGTAGAGTATTTTTTGATAAGTTAACTGACGGACTAATTAAAACTCTTGCTTTTTGACCCAGGAAACATCCCTTTGAGTTTAGTACGAGGGGCTAACGGGAGTATTAGTGATTTATGTAATAACAGATTACTTATAATCAGAACTGTCTACACATAAAAATCAGGCCTAGTGGCAAGCTTAGCCAAGCCAAGTACGTTACCGTGTTGGGCACGTAGGGCAGGCCGTAGTACTGGCGCTGCACGTCGCGCAGCACGTCGGTGGTGCGCGCGCCGCTCGACGCGCCCGGCCCGTGGTAGCGCTGGTCCAGCGCCGAGTAGAACACCTGCGCAGGAATACATACAGGGTGTTACTTTTCATCCTTGCCATATTCACAGATAAAAGTAGGGAACGTTACCTATTGTTTTAAAGCCTGGTCCGTGAGCACGTAGAATTTTGTCCAATGACCCCAAGCTACCCATCCTTATCGCTCGCGAGTAATTATGTTGCTGTCGCGCTCGCACACTCACTGCGGGTGTCAGTCGCACAGTCGCGACAGCAATATAATTACGCGCGAGCGATAAGGATAGGTAGCTAGGAGTCATTGGACAAAATTCTACGTGCTCACGGACCAGACTATAGAACATTAATTTTGACGTCACCGAATATACAACATCATCACTGACACTGTAGCATTACTAAAGCTTTTCCCAGATACAGTTATAGTACGAGAGGGGAGCGTAAGATACCCTACGTCACTTGATACTAAGATAAGTTCCATGGCACACGTTTAGAAAAGTTGTACTAAGCTTGGAATAATTAATTAATAAACTCCGATTTGGCCCAAAGTACAAAAATTGGCTGTTTTCGGTGAAAAAAAACTATTTCACATCATTTGATATCGGTGTAATACTTATGTCATCAGTTTTATTCCACTTTATTCACCTAAGCGATATCAACTGGGTAGATTTTTTTGTGTCCTCATTTCACTTTGGAACCATTTCACCCAACTTTATTTTCCACGTGAATTGAGTCGACTATAGCGGATGCCTTTGTTCACCTAGGAATTAATTCATCTGGTGAACAGATGCGTCTTTTTTCATTAATCAAGTGGACTTATATCACCCGCATAAATTAGGTTAGAAACTCAAATTAAAAGGCAGCTTAAATTGACCATATTCAGTTTTCTTAACACAGGACTACGTCTATTGGCATGGGGCACACTGAAAACCAGCGCCGTGGCCTTCGTCACCGTGGGCCACGGCATATGCTGAGTGGGGTCCCGTTGCAGTGGGCATCTTGTTGGTGAATGGGTGGCACTGCTCAGTTTACTCTTGTTTTTATTTTTTCTTCTTTTATTATTATGTGCCACTGTCATGTCTATGTAATTGCCTGTATTTGTGTGATGTCCATTGTAATAAATGTATCTTTCTTTCTTTCTATTGGGGTTGGCTGTACAAATTCGCCGGGTCAGCTAGTTTAACAATGAATTTACCTGTAACTGCATCTCGCTGGCGCCGAACAAGTACTTGGAGGCGCAGAGCCGGTGCAGCATGTCGTCGGGCATCGGCTCGCGCGTCTGGAAGTGCCGCGCGAAGCGACGCAGCACCTGCCCGACACAGGCTTCAATTAGCGCACTTATGTTTATAAGTAAAATAAACGTGAGGTCCGGTGGAAACTAAGGCGGAGCGGAGCAGATGTGTTTTGAAGATTTGTTATATGCATTTTCCGATATTTTTATTTTGTTGTATAAAAAAAATCCCGAACGCCTTTTTTCCCGGGATTTTTTCATAGTCATTCATTTTACTCAGGGCAAAACTTCTTATTCGTTTGTTGTGAGTCTATTTGCAATTTAGAATAGTTTTTTTTAATGTTTATTTTGTCGATACGATATCAGGTTTGTCTACAGTGAAAAAAGTCGATCGGAATTTTTTAAACAAATCGTTTTGAATAACCAATCAGATTTCACTATTTCCGCATCTCCTTTCCGCTCCGTTTCGGTGAAAATGGATTGGTCTGAGAAGAGAGGAAATGTGTCGAGCGAATTTGTAGAAATAGAATTTGACAGGGGCGAGAATGGTGCCGTGGGTAGTAAGCCTGTACTACTACATCTAGGTAGGGTAGCTAGGGGTCATTGGACAAAATTCTACGTGCTCACAGACCGGGCTTTAGTATACCTGCGGGCTGCCGGCGAAGCACTCCATGAGCACGCTGGGCAGCTCGGCGAGGTCGGTGGGGCAGCGCGTGCCGGCCACGTGCTGGTGGCATGGACCCCGCTATAGTCTGGTCCGGGAGCACGTAGAATTTTGTCCAATGACCCCAAGCTACCCATCCTATCGCTCGCGCATAATTATGTTGCTATCGCGCTCGCACACTCACTGCGGGGCGCCCGTCGCACAGTCGCGACAGCAATATAATTACGTGCGAGCGATAAGGATGGGTAGCTTGGGGTCATTGGACAAAATTCTACGTGCTCACGGACCGGGCTTTAGTATACCTGCGGGCTGCCGGCGAAGCACTCCATGAGGACGCTAGGCAGTTAGGCGAGGTCGGTAGGGCACGGGGCTATTCCAGCCTCTCGTTCCCACCACTGCAACTCCTGTGTAGCCAGGATCTACAGCTTGACCGACACAAAAACCCAACCAATGAAGGTCAAGTTTGTCCCGGGGGAAAGTTAAACTGTCATTGGACCCGCAACGAAATTAATCAGCAGAACATAGGAGTTCGAAATTAAGGTTTGACTTCCCTCCATTGCAAAGAGGATGATAGATGACAAAAAAAGGTTTAAAACCCTCTAGTGCAGGAAAGAAAAACAAAAAACAAATATGCTACATACATACAGGGTGTCCCGTAATGTAACGTCAAGCCGGAACTGGGTGTTGAGGCAAGTTGTGCTGGTTATCAGAAAAATATAAAAAAAAATCTATGTGGCATATTTTAAAAATAATAGGCATTTAAAAAAAATCAAAAAAATCTACTCCAGGTGACGGTCCTTTTACTCGTGTTGCCACAAATCTTCACTTTTTCCAAATTTTTTTTTNTGAATTTTGGGCACATTAGAATAATAATTTTTAACCAAGGTAGATAAAGTTAAAAACGGGACTATTTCCAAAAAACCAAAAATTGTCGACAATTACAGCAAAAATTTACCAAGTGTTATACCATTTTGGAATCCTTACTAAATGCGCCAAATTATGACGTCACTTGCCACACTAGCGTAGTACATTTTTTTTTTCAGTACAGTCAGTTTAAACTAGGCAACATTTTTATTTTGAAATTTTTTTTGGGAATAATGTATTTTTTTCATCCAAGCTGGAGCAGCTGGTTTTGTAATTTTGATAACAATTTAGAGAAGCATTATTCAGGGTTACATAACAAAAAAAAAATTTGGAAAAAGTGAAGATTTGTGGCAACACGAGCAAAAGGACCGTCACCTGGAGTAGAATTTTTTGATTTTTTTTAAATGCCTATTATTTTTAAAATATGCCACATAGATTTTTTTTTATATTTTTCTGATAACCAGCACAACTTGCCTCAACACCCAGTTCCGGCTTGACGTTACATTACGGGACACCCTGTATATACATATATAGTATACCTGCGGGCTGCCGGCGAAGCACTCCATGAGCACGCTGGGCAGCTCGGCGAGGTCGGTGGGGCAGCGCGTGCCGGCCACGTGCTGGTGGCGTGGACCCCGTTATAGTCTGGTCTGTGAGCACGTAGAATTTTGTCCAATGACCCCAAGCTACCCATCCTTATCGCTCGCGCGTTATTATGTTGCTATCGCGCTCGCACACTCACTGTGGGTGCCAGTCGCACAGTCGCGACAGCAATATAATGAGGGCTATCGTTTTTATACTTAACAGTTGGCACCCCTGGCGATTGACAGGACCTTACTCTACAGTGGCGCCATCTTGATGAGTGCAAATGCGATAGTCCTCCTCCCACTTTCGCGCTCACCAGCTGGCGCCACTGTCTTCGCTACTAGCAAGTGACAGGACCTTACTCTACAGTGGCGCCAACTGGTGAGCGCTAAAACGATAGCCCTCATTACGCGCGAGCGATAAGGATGGGTGGCTAGGGGTCATTGGACAAAATTCTACGTGCTCACAGACCGGGCTTTAGTATACCTGCGGGCTGCCGGCGAAGCACTCCATGAGCACGCTGGGCAGCTCGGCGAGGTCGGTGGGGCAGCGCGTGCCGGCCACGTGCTGGTGGCGCGCGCGGCCGAGCATGCTGCCGATATGCCGCGGCTATATTGCTGTTGCGACGGGCGCCCGCAGTGAGTGTGCGAGCGCGACAGCAACATAATTACGCGCGAGCGATAAGGATGGGTAGCTTGGGGTCATTGGACAAAATTCTACGTGCTCACGGACCGGGCTTTAGTATACCTGCGGGCTGCCGGCGAAGCATTCCATGAGCACGCTGGGCAGCTCGGCGAGGTCGCTGGGATCTGGTCCGGGAGCACGTAGAATTTTGTCCAATGACCCCAAGCTACCCATCCTTATCGCTCGCGCGTAATTATGTTGCTGTCGCGACTGTGGGATGGGCGCCCGCGGTGAGTGTGCGAGCGCGACAGCAACATAATTACGCGCGAGCGATAAGGATGGGTAGCTTGGGGTCATTGGACAAAATTCTCGGCTTTAGTATACCTGCGGGCTGCCGGCGAAGCACTCCATGAGCACGCTGGGCAGCTCGGCGAGGTCGGTGGGACAGCGCGTGCCGGCCACGTGCTGGTGGCGCGCGCGGCCGAGCATGCTGTGCAGCGCGTGGCCCGCCTCGTGGAACAGGTTGTCCACGGCGCCGGCAGACAGCAGCGCCGGGCCCGAGCGGTGCCCGCCGCTTAGGGACAACATCACTACCACTATCGGATTCTGTCGAAGAACGGTTTAATTTTGTAAAGAAATTGAGTAGAACTAAAGCCTAGTTCGCAGAATTGTTAAAATCAAGTGGCATTGTGCGGGGCACATAGCTCGTAGAGAGTTGGAGTAAACGTAGGAAAAAGTTCGTTTAAAGCCTGGCCCGTGAGCACGTAGAATCCCGTCCAATGACCCCTAGCTACCCAATATCCTTATCGCTCGCGCGTAATTATATTGCTGTCGCGACTGTGCGACGCGCGCCCGCAGTGAGTGTGCGAGCGCGACAGCAATATAATTACGTGCGAGCGATAAGGATGGGTAGCTTGGGGTCATTGGACGAAATTCTACGTACTCGGCGACCGGACTATAGCTTATACACGTCGCGCGACCACGACTCGCCTGCAACAATCATTGTACCTGGTACGAGCCGTCGGGCAGCTGCTTCCCGCCCTGGATGGTGAAGTGGCAGTCCTGGTGCGGCTTGCCGGGCCGCTCGTACAGGTCACAGTAGATGTGCCCCAGTAGGCCTTCGCTCTCGTGAACTACAGCCAGCTTATACACGTCGGGCGACCACGACTCGCCTGGAATAATCATACGCGTCTATAGCCGAGGTCGCTTACTACCTCATAAGAAGGCCAAAGGGCGATATAGCGGGCTATGCTCGGAGTTTCCCTGCGTGATCGAATCAGAAATGAGGAGATCCACAGGAGAACGAAATCGCTAAAATCAAGTGGTCGTGGGCGGGGCACATAGCTCGTAGCTGATGGCCGCTGGGGCAGAAAAGTTCTCGTGTGGCGACCACGAGCCGGAGACGTAGTATGGGTAGGCCTCCCATCCCACTAGGTGAACCGACGATCCGGTGAAGGTCGCGGGAGGTGCCTGGATGCGGGCGGCGCAGGACCGGTCTTTGTGGAAAACCTTAGGAGAGGCCTTTGTTCAGCAGTAGACTGGACGTCTCTCGGCTGAAAAGAACGATATAGAGTGAGGGCCGGGGTGGCACGGCCCCAGAATGGTGTGGTTACAAATTCGAACGGATCAGTTTTTTGTGGGACACTTCGAACGGGATTTTCGCGTGAACGTTTTAATTAAATTCAATTAAATACATCTACAGATAGACAATAGCCCATTTCTTCTAATTTTCTTAATCGTTGCAACACTGAAGACAATAAAAAATTGAGATAATCAAATGCCTTACCTGGCAACATCTCTTCAGAAACCAAGCTGATTCCATACAACTCCTGGCACAGCATATTCAGGCCTTCCATACACCCGCCCAGCGAGAAGTAAGGACTGAAGTCCGAGTTAGCCACATTTAGCAGCTGTGTCTTGGCTTTATGCGTGAAGTATGGCGTGTCCCAGCACATGAGAGTGTCCTGATAAGGCGTCTCCTTCCTTTTCATTTTGAGCATAGCATCGAAGTCAATTCTGGCGCGATCGTAGAGATTGTCGGAGAGTATATCAAGGAACTGGCGCACGTTTGACGCGGTTTCCATCGTACTAGCTTTTATTGCTCTGAAAAAAACATTTTTATGTTTGTAGTCAAGAAAGTTTGTAATTGATAGAATCTAAAGAGGGTTAACATGTTTGTCAATATGGTGAAAACAAATATTTACATCAGTTATCAATCATAGCAGTTTTAATAAATTGCATAAGCCTGCAGGTGACCCCTTAAAGTAAACATGACTTGTTTGTATAATCTATTTATAGTTTCTGATACACATAAATATCTCAGATATTAACATAATAATTATGTAGTTATATTATGTGCCTATTCATAAAAAAATACTACTCTCTCTCTCTCTACTAAATGACTCGACTAGTGCGAACAAGGGTTAGGGCTGATTTTTCAATCGTCGCATAATTTTTAACTGAAGAATAAGTTTGGCACATTGACAGTTTTAGCAGGCCTGTTCATCTCCGCGAGTTTACATCGAAAACAAAACACGCACGATGGCCCACCTACAGAATACTATTCGACAAGGCTTCACATACGAGCGAACATTGACTCACGCACGCGTATTCTTGTGTATAATGGAAGAAAATAAAGAAAATGGTGTCCTAAATACTGTGCAGTATTTAACTGCCTAAATAATAATAAAAACACAGAATGTACTTTTTTAAGTTGCCTCAAGACACTGAGAGGTAAATAAGTAGTTAATATTATTCATGATAATTCATGCTAAATCATGTATTTTCTCCGCCATTTTCCGCAGTTTGGCACCTCACGTCACATCATTTTACCGAAGTCAGCCCTATAGCTTTGGCGCAGTGCCGATCACTGACGTTTGTCAACAAAATGGTGCTTGACTCTTGAGACAGGCTAAAATTACACCATATTGTTAATGACATTGAGCATAGATTTTTTTAAATACCTTCGAGAAGCAAAACTTCTGTACGTAGTACTTATTATTATTCTGTGGTTTTAGTATGGGAAATATGTTAAAATGACAAGGTTATTCTTCAGTTAAAAGATGTCTGACGATTGAAAAATCAGCCCATACACTAACCTGTCGGCGTAGCATCAGTGCTATCTCCAGGCGCGCATCCAGGGTGGTCCTGGGCCGCGTCGGGCGCCAGGTACAGGCGGTAGGCCGCCTCGTCACTGCCGAATGACGCGACTAGTGCGAGCAAGGAACAACACTAACCTGTCGGCGTAGCACTGGAAGCCGCAGACGGCCGCCATCTCCAGGCGAGCATCCAGGGTGGTGGTGAGCAGGCGGTCCTGGGCCGCGTCGGGCGCCAGGTACAGGCGGTAGGCCGCCTCGCGCGCCGCCGCCTCGCCGCACTCTGCGTAAACGCCGCTCACTATTATGTTGTCGCCTTCTGTGCTGAAACTGTAACAAGGCAAAGACTACTAATCTATACTAATACTAGCTTTCGGCCCGCGGCTTCGCCCGCGTGGAATTTTGTCTGTCACAGAAAAACAATATCGCGCGCGTATTTGCTCACCGTTTAGACCTACCCTGGACTACGACAAACATTTTAAAACCAAAATCAGCTCAATCGGCCCAGCCGTTCTCGAGTTTTAATCAGACTAACGAACATCAATTCATTTTTATTTATTAATATATAGATAGATATAGATTATAAAGCTGAAGAGTTTGTTTGTTTACTTGAACACGCTAATATCCGGAACTACTGGTCCAATTTGAAAAATTCTTTCAGTGCTAGCTCATTTATCGAGGAAGGCTATAGGCTATACAACATCACGTTACGATCAATAGGAGCAAAGCAATAATGAAAAATGTTGCGAAAACGGGTTTTCACGCGTACGAAGTCGCGGGCACAGCTAGTATATCTATAAAAGCGAAAGGTCACTGACTCACTCACTCATCTCGAAATCTCAGAAACTACAAGTGCTAGGATTCTCGAATTTTGCATGGGGGTTCCTTTTAGAACGTAGGTGCTCACTAAGACGGGAATTTGTAAAATTTTGCCCCTAAGGGGGTAAAACGGGCTCCACGCGTACGAAGTCGCGGGTGGCCGGTGGTAATAAATAAAAGATAAAACTAATTTATTAAAAAAACCACTGGAAACAATAGTCCAAATGGGGCTACTGGGAATACACGAAAGGACTTGACTTGACGCCTACTTGTAAATAGATAGTGAAACTTACAATTGCCTGATATTAGCAGGTACAACCTGCCTATTCACCTTCCTAGGCTTAGCAGCTCCAGCCATGAACCTCTGTCCAGTTTGCAGGATCAAGTCATTGAGAGCGACAACTCTTTTCCTCGGGCCCTCTTCCAGTTGGATGCCACTCTGTTCAAAGTCAAAGAGGAACAGTTCGGCGAGGTGCTGGTCCCCTGATGTGCCCCGTTGGACTGAGTCACGAAGTGCTTCGTATAAACCCTTGTGTGTGTTTAACCTGTGGGCAATTAAATTATCTGTTATTTTGCACTCAGATCTTTCAAAATCAAATCAAATCAAAAATATTTTATTCAATTTAGACCACTGGTGGCACTTATGAACGTCAAAATATAGAAAATAAAAAAAGGTAGCCCTTATGGGGCACTTTACATGTCTCCTTATCTTTTGGGCCCTACCAGAGCTTCGAGACTAACATGTGGCAAGTGCTGAGAAGAAATGCCGGAACAAACTCACTTTGATTAATGAAGTGGTATTAGTTTATATCAAGAGGGTGTTAAACTATGTAACTAAAAATCAAAGATGAGATTGTAGTCTTTTGATATGTCTTCATTCAAAATTGTATATTTGGTTAATAGCAATAAAGAACATTAACAACCGTGCAATGTGAAAGTAATTGGATGAGGCCTATGTTCAGCAATGGACGTCCTGTGGCTGAAATGATGATGATGAATAAAGAACAATTCAGCTCATAATAATAAGAAAACTTTTTTTATAATGTATTTTTATTATTTTTTTGATAATTTACATTGTAAAAAAATATGTAAAATTAAGAACCAAAGTTAATAAAGAAAACTCATAGGCTTGTGTGAGACTTACGGCCGAATACTGAAACACTACTTAAATCTGTCACTCAGCTGACGGGCTCCTAAATTTAAGTATCCTTCAATTTTAAATGGTATTCTCAAACGCTACTCAACGGATTTGAAGCCGTGATCAGCTAAGCAGCTCTCAAATGTTTACATAATGGCAACATTTACCAAAAAAAGTATGTTTTCATTTACACAAATGATAACTTTACGTCTTTTATCCATTACACGCAGCATCGTTTGGTTATGTATTGTCTTTTATGGAAATATACTCAATCAACTTAACATAGAACAGTTTATTTTTAGTTTCTATTGATACCCATTTCTTTAAATGTAAATATTAAACTTATTCCAATAAAGAAATACTCAAAATTTGACTTTACGCCGAATTAAAAATGGTCTTTTATAATTTCCTAGGCCATTTTATGCCACGGAAAACAAGGAAATTAGGGCCAAAGAAATTAGATTTATGCCTAAAAGACACCACAGACAAAAACCTATTTACCCTATGCATTTACTATTTAAATCATGGGTTTACCCCTACAGACACTACATCTGTTTAAATAAACAATAAAATTAATCCATTGTTTAGCTACAAAAAACCGTCCAAAGAAATTGACTTTTAAGTAAACAAAAACCCAAGGAGGGACCTACTTATGCGATTTGTCGCGAAACTGATCAACGAAGTACTGTCCTGCCTCGATGGCCTCTTGGGACGAAATGGCCGAGTGTAACGGTGCAGTGCATTACATTCTAAGTTCTTTCGTTTCGTTACTACAATGGCCGAAAAGAAGACCCAGGGAAATTATACTTTTGACTCGGACAAGAACTTAACTTCACTTTATTTCCTTCCTTTAAGTATTTGACATTTAAAGATTTTATTTTCTGATAGCCAAACGTTTCTCAAATATAAAGAGAGTGCTATTAGAATGAAATTACGCTTCAATTTGTTATAATGTGCCTTCATTTTGGCAAACAACAGTAGTGGACATAACAAGGAAATTAGAAAAACGACTTTTGATTAAGTTTTTCTACGGTATTTTTTGTAGTTTCTGCTATTGTAATAGCAAAAACAAATAAAACTTTTGATTAACTTTCCCATAAAAATAGTTTTATACATATAAATATAAAAAAACATGTGTTCGCCTGCCTGGACACAGAAAATTTACTGTTTCGGCGAAATACCCTTATTTCCTTATTAAACAATGAGTTTGGCGGGACAGTTCAGCGTGGGTCATCTATATCAATGAGAGCCACCACACCACACGCGTCACGCACACTGCACAGTGGTTTCAATACTCAAGCGTGACTCAAGCTCAATACATATTTTGGATGTCTCGATTTGTCCGCGCTATCTAGGCTGTGTTTACCCAAAAGATGAGTAACGGTTTCCAAATGAGTAAAAGTCTCATGGTCTAACTAAGGTAAAAGTATACTTTTTACCTTTCTTCTTCACATGGATTTGTGGAGATTTGGAATCCAAAAGGACTTCATAAATAACAAACGGAATGTTTTTGTGATTCAGATAGTTTAAAATCTCTAAAGCCGTTGCATCTCTCTCTCCTAATTTCCTCTTCTCACTCAACAAAAATCGACTCTAATGAGTATTGCCAGTAACAAAAATTAAGAAAATATTTTTAATCTGTAATTGAGCAGCTGTTAAATATGTCAAAAATGACAAAATTGAGTGAAGTGAATGCGTCGAATTGTTGAATCGAAAATGCAATCAATGCAGAACGTAAATTGCAGTTTTTAATAATCCATGTGCATTTAATTTGTATGTGCAATAATCATATTTGATCATGTAGTACTAGTGTATAGTGAAATTGTCAAATTCTCGTGTAAGCACAAGTTTGTGTAACTTTATTAAAGTCGTAAACAATGGTGAGTTACATTTGTTGAGAATGCACGTTGTATTCGGAGTTGGCGCGCTATTTTTCGGTTGCGATGTTTATTGTTGTTGTTTTTGTGGTTCTGTAGTCTACCCCACCGCCGCCGCAGCTGCGCCGCTCCGCAGGTGAGGGCAAGAAGACCACCCCGCCGACGTCTAGTATTGTGACCAGAAATGGTGCTCGCAAGGCCAAGATACAAACTCGGGCTATGTCAGCAGGGGCCAAGGTAAACGGAACTTTAAGTTTTCTTTGTTTATTGTTTTAAACTTTCATGGTCACTAAAAGAAATTAAGGTAGGTACCTACATGGTAGCAATCCCGTCAATATTAATTATTCTTCGTTTATGCAATATTTAGCAATTATTGGTAAATAGTTTTAATTTATTATTGGATTTTTTTTCTTATAAAATAAAAACCCTCTGACCGATAAAGTTATTAAATAAATGAATAAATTGCTTACTCATTTCATAATAATGTATGCCCTAAGTACCTACCTAATTTAAAAAATGAACTTATTAAATGAAATGGTAATGCCATTTCAAGTAAGTAAATAAACAAGGAAAAAAATTAATTTAAGAAATTCATTTGATTAAATATTCACACAAGGAAAGTCACTCATTGTAACTAGCGAATGGTATCTTACAAATTAGGTATTTAAATCTTACGAAACATCTACAAGTCTTTACGCTTTGTTTGCCTTCTTATCTCTGATTATGGTCGACACGTTTTTCGTTATCTAAGTATTGACAGATACTTTCAACTGTATATTCCAGCCGTCTGCCTCTGTGCTTGCAGCGAAAAAGAAGGCTCTGCAGAAGAAAAAACAGACTGTGGACACTGTGATTCGAGACCATTATCAAATTGTAAGTTTTTAATCTTTTTTATACTATTTAATTTAACTTTTGTCAAGTAAATTCAAATCAGTTTTATTTGTGATACACAGGTAAAGAGTTCTTAAGTATGATAGCTGGCCATTGCTCTGACTTTTTTCTCTTGTTTTTTGTATGATACATTTTTAATCTACTCCACTATAATATAATAGCTTACTGGTATTATAGTGTTATGTAAGTAACTTAAATTTAAGAATGATAAACATAAATTTATTCACTTTATAAATAAAAAAAATAAATCACATATTTTCTGAATGAAGTAATTTCAATAAAGACAGATTCCTTTATGAATGATAATTTTACAGGCCATGGAATCTAAAAACAAAGTGAAGGGGCCAACAGGCTTTGTTACGGAGCCTCGAATGGCTGAGCACCGGTGTCTGTGGGACGAAAACTACCCTGAGTGCCCTGAGAGGTTAATACGTGTGATTGACAGGTATGCAGACAGTAGAATATTCTTATGACGTTCACTTGTAAAAGATATAAACCATGTACAATGTAATTACTACTGCAATAAAACTTATCTTGGGCCTTCATTTAACTGTAACACTATACTGATATTAAGAACAATTAAAATTTTAATACCTGCTTGCTACAATAATATACAGATAACAATAAGTAAATTGTTTTTCTTTGTATCCTTATTACCAGACACTTTTAAGACATCCATTTTGTATAGCATTCAATTATACACAGAAAAAATGTAATAACATCATATTTTACCATATCATCTTTATTTCTGATTTAATCATCGTGAGGTTGTAAATCATAATAAAAAGACAATATAAGATGTAAGAAGATACCAGAAGCACTTTTCTAACGCCAGCTAGCCCCATTCAAAATTAATTTACAAGTTTCCTTGCCTACTCTACTGTTCCAGGTGTAAAGAACTGAACCTCATAGAACAATGCAAAGAATTCCCTCCACGTGCCGCGGATAAAGAAGAATTAAACATTCTGCATTCTCCTAGTGTGTTTGAGATGCTTGAGACTACCCACCAGAACAACAATCTCGAATATTTGGAAGACCTGTCTTCTAAATACGATGCCATCTACATACATCCTGTGAGTATTTTTATTTAGAAGTTTCTGCTACACATTTTTTTTATTTATTTATTTATTTAGGACAATCAACAAGACAGACACAAGTACAAGCAGAGGGGTTTACATACATATTTTTTTTAACAATAATTAATGCAATTACAAATATAATTTACATTTTATAATTTCACAAATGATTGAGTATCTTACGCTGCTTCTTCTCAGCACTGGCCCGTATTGTCCCGAAGCAGTGGTAGGGTTAATACCGAGACGTTTAAAAGTGTTTTTTAAAAGCCTACTTGCAAAAATTAAGTGTTATGAGTTCTCTAACTTTTTATAAAGGTAAAGCCGATAACGGCTGCCTGCAACTTCGTACGCGTGAATCACGTTTTTTTACCCCCTTAGGCCCAGTGTAGTGTGTACGCATCCTTTCCCCATATTAGGCATAAACCACTAGTATATAAGCTTAGGATAATCTTCATTCGGACGATTAAACCTACAGTGCGCACATCTAACTGTTTTATTGTGTCTCCCGAACGACACACATTACATGGCGACCCTGCCAGTGCTGCCCACGGGCAGCGCTGCGCAATCAATCATTAATTAAATAAAAAGTGAATTTGCGAATAATATTTTAAAATATGTGAACGGACTGAATTATAAAAGACTTTCGTCTACAAATCAAATATGAAGTGAACATTTTTGGTGAATTATGGAGACCACATTTTGGATGGCGTAAGATGAAAGAAATGCAGCCGCGTTAAACCTATAAATAAATGAAGAAATTTTGAAACTGTGCTGGGCGTAGCTGCCGGGTGACGATGGTGTTGGAGGACATTGGCTGACGTGAGAGGATATTTAGCTGCCGGGAGATGCAGAAGGTGCGTGATGATGGATTGGCGCCGGGTTGTGAAGATGAGAAGTTAGAAGTTTGGAACACGTACACATGACCAATATGTTTAGCCTTTTATTATTTTAATTAATATTCTTAACTTCGTATAAGTGGCCACTATACATAATTATTGAAAATCATTTATCTTTGTAATTAAGGTCATATAAAAGTGTAATGACTTTTTTTTTCACGTATGTAGGTACTTATTCATAATAACGTAGACGAATCATTTTTAATTAAATTAATATTGCAGTAAATATTGTCATACATAATACGTGGATATTTCCTATTGACATTTTAAAATATCGTTTATAATTTTATGGAAAATACTTAATGGAAATTTTGCAATTTATTTTTATAATTATGTGAAATCTTTTACATACATAGTACAAAGCTTGGTAACACAATTTTATTAGATTTACCTTGAAAATAATATATTATGTTAAAAATTATTCTGATATTATAAACAATTTTGAATATAAAGAAAAGTTCAACTTTATATTGCTGGTAATTAAAACTTTTAAAAAATTCATAGGTACTTAATGCTACTTCATGCAGTCGATAAAGGTAAGTTATTTTAATAACTTTAACTAATAATTTAATTAGGAGACATTTCTTAAAATGTACTACATTCTCCATATTAATTATCGAATCATGCCGATTTAGGTATCCTGCGAATCTAATAATTAATTTAAATTTTATTTCTTTGATCATTTTAACGTACTTAACTGAAACATTTTAACAACAATCATAATCATAATTCAATAAATTAATAAAGTATTCACTACATTGCATAATCTTATTGTTGAAAAATTTAAAAATGTTATCATAACTTTTAGTAACTTCTTTGATTTTTTTTTTTAAATGATCAATATTTTTATTTCATTTGGATGTGATTTACCTATTTTTTTACACTGAATGTAGCGCACATTATTTTAATGTGAACTTAATAAAAAGTCTAAACTTGATCTGATAGCCATTATAACGTCTATTTATTTTAACAGCAGAATAAAAACTTATTATTTAGTAAGAAATTAGAACCTTCAAAAATATTTACGCAAATTAATCATAACTTTCCAATTTCGATTATAACATTTCAATGTTGATCATAATTTTATTTTTGTCGATTTAATTTAAACATAACTTTTAAATAACAGACCAATGGTTGACTGGTTGATAATGCCATACGACATTAAGTTCGTTTTTTTTTTGTACTGTATTTCTGTATGCAAAACTTTTAATAATTAATTAACAGAATTGGCTGAGATAATATTTTATTTTAAACTAGTTTTGTTGAATATTAATGTCATTTTTATTTCACATTTAAATTATTATTCTAATATGTATCTACATTTTGAGTAACCATCAAATTATTTAATTTGGTTTTTCTAATATTCATTCGGACGATTAAACCTACAGTGCGCACATCTAACTGTTTTATTGTGTCTCCCGAACGACACACATTACACCAGAACACACGGTGAAACACAACTGCAACTTCTAGTTACTTTTGAGTTGCATCTAAGTTTCTGCCATAGATTCCGATGAGAGACCAGACATGACGCGACCAGTTTGACCAGTTCAAACCGGTATCTTGCTGGGTTTAATCTTGCAAAATTCCGTCTTAGTAAGCACTTACATTCTAAAAGGAACCCCCATGCAAATTTTGAGACTCTCAGAAATGTGAGAACTAGAAAGTGCTAGGCACTTGCAGTTTCTGAGATTTCGTGATGAGTGAGTCAGTCAGTGACCTTTCGCTTTTATAATAATAATAAATCTTTGGACAATTTCACACAGTGCCAGCTAGCCCCAAAGTAAGCAACTTAATGCTTGTGTTATGGGTGCTAGCTTAACGGATATATTATTTATATACTTTTTTTTTAAATACATAAATATTATNAAAGTGTGATGGCAAATCATAATTTAGGAATTAAAACCAGAAAAATTGATCAGTGAGTTTTATTTACAACACCTATTCATATTCAATATTAGGGTGCATTTCCACTGAAGCGAAGCGAAGTAGTAATAGGTATGTACCTATCAATTTTTTATTACGTCTCTAAATAAATTGCGTAGGCATTACGAAACCGTAGATATTGAATTCCAATTTCTATCCTTTTTTAAATTTCTAGTTTAACGCGGATGATTCGCCTCGGTTCGTTGGAAAAGTCCCCCGCTATTACACTAATGAAAATACACTTATTTACCTACTTATGTAGCTAGATTTTGTTTCTCCCAGCGCGTAGTACCTATTAACATGACGTAACATCGTACATACTCACGAGTGATATTTTTTGGTAACGTAGGCTTAGTGTAATCTAACCTTTATGTGTGTGAACGTTGAATGAACGCGCGCGGCCATTGTTCGTACTCGTATGAATGAAATGAGTAAAGAAAGAGAGAGAGGCAGTGAGTGAAGACAGGATGGTTGTAAAAATAATATCTTTTTTTTGTTAGAAAAAGTAAAAACAAAAACTAGCCTGAATTTTTTTTTAAAAACACTTGGGTTGTATTTGTATGATTTTATTAGATGCCTTGGTAAAGTATGATCAGTACAAAAAATAACACCTTATATACTTTTTTTTTTAAATACATAAATATTATACATAGTCACACCCAGACCCGGTCACAGAAATTAAAATTCATCATTTCAATTTCTGCCTGGCCGGGAATCGAACCCGGGACCTCTCGGCATAGTAGTCCGTTCTGTGTGCCTACCATGAGTTTACATTAGGTGTGCTCGCTAGCGACTGCGTAAAAAAATGACATTTAAATGTATGACATATTGTGCAGCGCCCCTAGCGGCTACTTTCAAGAAATAAAATCTTCATAGAATTTTTTGACGTATTCGCTAGCGAGCTCACCTAACGTAAACTCATGGTAGGCACACTGAACCACTACACCAAACGGCCGACGATTTTATAGTTGTTCTGTTTTTAGAGCACTCACGAGCTAGCCCTAATGGCCGCGGGCTCGACCATAGACATGGTGGACCGCATCGTGTCGGGCGCGGTCCACAACGGCGCGGCGCTCGTGCGGCCGCCGGGACACCACGCCATGGCGGCCGAGCCCTGCGGCTACTGCTTCTACAACAACGTGGCGCTGGCTGCGAGGCACGCCATAGACAAGCGCGGGCTGAACAGGTAATAACGTCTAAAGCCCGGTCGCGCGTAATGAGGGCTATCGTTTTAGCGCTCACCAGTTAGCGCCACTGTAGAGTAAGGTCCTGTCACTTGCTAGTAGCGAAGACAGTGGCACCAACTGGTGAGCGCGAAAGTGGTAGGAGGACTATCGCAATTGCACTCATCAAGATGGCGCCACTGTAGAGTAAGGTCCTGTCAATCGCCAGGGGTGCCAACTGTTAAGTATAAAAACGATAGCCCTCATTATGTTGCTGTCGCGCTCGCACACTCACTGCGGGCGCCCGTCGCACAGTCGCGACAGCAATATAATTACGCGCGAGCGATAAGGATGGGTAGCTTGGGGTCATTGGACAAAATTCTACGTGCTCACAGACCAGACTATAGCTAGGAGCGCCATGTGACAAGAGAACTCTTCCATAATATTAAGCACTCACAAGTGGCGGCTGCCTGGACCATATTATACACCTCGAAGCCAGTTTTAGGACAACGACTCGCGGCTCCGTCTCAATGGCTCCAGATGACACCGTCGGGTTTTAGTGAAAGCCCCGCCCTCCTGGGGTGAGTCCGACACAACCCATAGGCCATTCCCATCGGCATGCCATAGACAAGCAAGGGTTGAACAGGTACTAACATCTAAAAGAAAGAGCTCGACCATCGATACAGTGGACCAGAACGGCGCGGCGCTCGTGCGGCCGCCGGGACACCACGCCATGGCGGCCGAGCCCTGCGGCTACTGCTTCTACAACAACGTTGCGCTGGCTGCGAGACACGCCATAGACAAGCGCGGGCTGAACAGGTAATAACGTCTAAAGCCCGGTCGCGCGTAATGAGGGCTATCGTTTTAGCGCTCACCAGTTAGCTCCACTGTAGAGTAAGGTCCTGTCACTTGCTACGAGGGCGGCACTGAAAATTTCGGGAATCAAGGAAGTGAAACAACATTACTATTTAAAAATGTATTTATTGCTTTTTAAAGTATTCTCCGCGAAATTTGACACATTTTTCCATACACGAAACCAATCATTGAAGCAACCATTGCATTCGGAAGTTTGGGTCTCCAAAATGGCCGTTTTGTAGGCTTCCACAGCTTCTTCAGGTGATGAAAATCTCTGACCACGCAATTTATTCTTTATTTAAGGGAAAGTATAGAAATCATTAGGGCTTAGGTCGAGGCTGTACGGCGGATGGACTAATAATTCTATGTTTTCTTGCTCTAAAAACTCCTTTGTTCAGTGCGCGGTGTGAGAACTCGCATTGTCGTGATGGAGGATGATGCGGCGGTTGCAGTTCTCTTTACGGAGTTCAGAAACGACCTGTGGCAAACAAATGCTAGCATACTAATCTGCATTAACCGTTCTTTGTCCCCCAAGAGGAATAGTCGCAACATGGCCGGTTTTGGAGACAAACGTGGCCACCATTTTTTTTGCAACACTCCGTGAACGAACAATTTTTGTTGGCTTTAATTCATTTTCGAACACCCAAACTCGTGACTGGTTTTTTGTTTCGGGTTCGTACGCGTATATCCATGATTCGTCACCTGATACGATGTTGTATACAGCATTTGAGGATCCTGCATGTAATCTCCCGAGAGTTCTGACGCACCAAGTAACGCGAGCTGGCTGCGAGGCACGCCATAGACAAGCGCGGGCTGAACAGGTAATAACGTCTAAAGCCCGGTCGCGCGTAATGAGGGCTATCGTTTTAGCGCTCACCAGTTAGCTCCACTGTAGAGTAAGGTCCTGTCACTTGCTAGTAGCGAAGACAGTGGCACCAACTGGTGAGCGCTAAAGTGGTAGGAGGACTATCGCAATTGCACTCATCAAGATGGCGCCACTGTAGAGTAAGGTCCTGTCAATCGCCAGGGGTGCCAACTGTTAAGTATAAAAACGATAGCCCTCATTATGTTGCTGTCGCGCTCGCACACTCACTGCGGGCGCCCGTCGCACAGTCGCGACAGCAATATAATTACGCGCGAGCGATAAGGATGGGTAGCTTGGGGTCATTGGACAAAATTCTACGTGCTCACAGACCAGACTATAGCTAGGAGCGCTATGTGACAAGAGCTCTTCCATAATATTAAGCACTCACAAGTGGCGGCGGGCTTGACCATCGACACCTCGAAGCCAGTTTTAGGACAACAACTCGCGGCTCCGTCTCAATGGCTCCAGATGACACCGTCGGGATTTAGTGAAAGCCCCGCCCTTCTGGGAACAGTCCGACATAACCCACTAGCCGTCCCCATCGACGGTAAAATAGAAAGGGCTCGACCATCGACACAGTGGACCAGAACGGCGCGGCGCTCGTGCGGCCGCCGGGACACCACGCCATGGCGGCCGAGCCCTGCGGCTACTGCTTCTACAACAACGTCGCGTTGGCTGCGAGGCACGCCATAGACAAGCGCGGGCTGAACAGGTAATAACGTCTAAAGCCCGGTCGCGCGTAATTATGTTGCTGTCGCGCTCGCACACTCACTGCGGGCGCCCGTCGCACAGTCGCGACAGCAATATAATTACGCGCGAGCGATAAGGATGGGTAGCTTGGGGTCATTGGACAAAATTCTACGTGCTCACAGACCAGACTATAGCTAGGAGCGCCATGTGACAAGAGAACTCTTCCATAATATTATATTAAGCACACGACGAGTCGCGCCGTTTCAATGGCTCTGGAGGACACCGTTAGGTTCTAATGGAAGGCCTCCCCTTCTGGGAAGAGCCCGACCTAACCCACTAGCCGTCCCCATCGACGGTAAAATAGAAAGGGCTCGACCATCGATACAGTGGACCACAACGGCGCGGCGCTCGTGCGGCCGCCGGGACACCACGCCATGGCGGCCGAGCCCTGCGGCTACTGCTTCTACAACAACGTTGCGCTGGCTGCCAGACACGCCATAGACAAGCGCGGGCTGAACAGGTACTAACGTCTAGCTAGGAGCGCCATGTGACAAGAAAACACATATAATAAATAAGCACTCACGAGCTAGCACTAGTAGGGCTCGACCAGCGACCTCACGAAGTCGGAGGGGCTCGCTCAATAGCAAGCTATAGCCTGAGCCGGAGCCGCGGACAATTTTAGGACAATAACTCACGGCTCCCTTTCAAAGACCACAGATAACAAAAATTGTTGTCTGTGACAAAGAAATGCACGCAGAAAAAGCATATAACAAAAGCTACTATACATGAATTTCTATCTGTCATAAATAATATAGCTTGCCTGCTGCTTATCAACTCAGTCGTGTAATATGTTAATAGAAAATTTGTTTGCAGGATACTGATTGTGGACTGGGATGTACACCATGGACAAGCCACGCAACAGATGTTCTATGATGACCCCAGGTAAGATCCTCAACCTTTCGACTTCAAAACTTCTTAGTGAGGGCGCGTATTCTTCACCAATTTTAAAAAAAAACACCATGGAAATTAGAAAAAATAACCGTGTGGTGCGCTTGATGGCGATACAGTAGCTTCTTGTAACAGTCAGCACTATCGCATCGGCACAGTACTGATCACTGACATAGTCAAACGAAACGGTGCTCGACTTTGAGACAAGCTAAATTACACCATATTGTTGACGATATTGAGTTCGTTTCAGCCGAAAGACGTCCACTGCTGGACAAAGGCCTCCCCCAAGGATTTCCACAAAGACCGGTCCTGCGCCGCTCGCATCCAGGCACCTCCCGCGACCTTCACCAGATCGTTGGTCCGCCTAGTGGGAGCCTAGGCCTCCCCACACTACGTCTTCCGGCTCGTGGTCACCACTCGAGAACTTTCCTGCCCCAGCGGCCATCAGCTCTACGAGCTATGTGCCCCGCCCACTGCCACTTGATTTAAGCGATTCTGCGGGCTATGTCAGTCACTCTGGTTCTCTTACGGATCTCCTCATTTCTGATTCGATCACGCAGGGACTTCTGAGCCATGATGACGATATTGAGTAGATTTTTTTCTAAATGTATGTACATGTAAATTATTATTCTGTAGTACCATTGTAAAGTAACCTTCATACAGGGTGGTGTATTTCTCCATCCACCGCTACGAGCATGGCGCGTTCTGGCCCAACCTGCGGCAGTCGGACTTTCACTACGTAGGCAGCGGGCGCGGCGCCGGTACCACCTTTAATGTGCCGCTCAATAAGACTGGCATGCACGACGGGGACTACCTGGCCATATGGCACCAGCTGCTGCTTCCTATGGCGCTCGAGGTGACAAGATACTTAAAACATAAAAATATTGTAGTAATAATAATACCAAGACCAACTGACGATCGTTCTTTCTTCCTTTTTTGTTTTAATCTAAGAGGAAGCCTATGTGAACTGAACGACTGAGTCGTTATTCAAGTTTTAAAGATTGTGTTGGTCGTTAGTAACTTAACAAATAAAATTCAGTTTATTTATTTATTTACTTACTTTAAAGGAAAATCCTTTCGATTTATTCCAAGGTCACGTTCAGAGGATGAGCGCTTAACGCGCGTTTACATCTACATGTATTTTATTCTCGGAGTGCGCCCGCGCGTTGAGCGCTTATCATCGGAACGTGGGCTTAGTAAGGCTGATTATACAAAACTTGTGTTTTTTAAATGTCATAGATGGAGCATTATTTTTATTTCTCTATCAGTGGGCTGAGTGTGAGTTTACATTAAACACGCTCACTAGTGATCGCGTTTAAAAAATGTATGAAAATTTTAGTTTTTTATAGTTTCCCGCTAGGGCGCTGTACAATATAATAATATCATACATTTAATGTCATTTTTTGACGCGCTCACTATTGAGCGCGTTTGAAAAAAACTCACACTCAGCCCTCAGTATAAACAAAAACTCAATGACAACTTTTTTCCCAACTTCAGTATCAACCAGAGCTGATACTGGTATCAGCGGGATACGACGCTGCCATTGGCTGCCCAGAGGTACTATATCCTTCTCTTTTACTGTAGCTACATCCGTCTCTTTCAGTTCTCGCCCGAACTGGTAATCGTGTCGGCTGGCTACGACGCCGCGTTAGGCGATGAAAAGGTGGGATAAAATGTGATGAAAATAACTGCTTTTTCACTCAGTCGCCATATACATTTGACCGCATGGAGAAGTCACGCATTGTCAAGAAAACGTTCTTGAATCGCTGATTGTTCTGTTTTTGTGGCGTAGAGTGACGAGTTGCCAAACTTTTCAAATTATTTTTATTGATTGACTTGTTAGTTACTTATTTGTTGGGTTACAGTATATTGCTTGCTAGTTTTTGCTTGTGCCAAATATCTCACAAAGTTGAAAGGTTCATGGGCTTAATGTTTGTCTCGATGCACTGATGGAAAATAAACATTATATAATAGGTTCCTTAAGAGCAAAATTTTACTTTTGTAAGTACTAAAACATTTACGGGACTATTCCTAGTTCGCTACAATTTCTGTGTAGCTGGGATCTACAATTTACTGTCAATTAGACCCAATTAGTGAAGTCCAAGTAATCATAAGTCTACTCAAATAAAGACAAGATTTTGATAACCACCCAGGGTGAAATGGAAGTGCCCCGCCGTGTTACGCGACGCGAACTCACCTCTTGATATCGATGTGCCCGGCGGTGTGCTTACGGGTCTATTCGCATCTCTAATAGTCCCATTTTCAAAAAAAATCTTATTCTTTAAAAAAATGAGACAATTTTGATTTTAAAAACTCCCAGGGCGAAATGGAAGTGTCCCCGGCGTGTTACGCGACTCTGACGCACCTCTTGATGTCGGTGTGCCCGGCGGTGTGCGTGGTGTTAGAAGGCGGATACTGTGTGCCGTCTCTGGCTGAGGGCGCGGCGCTCACGCTGCGTACTCTGCTAGGACACCCGCCGCCGGCGCTGGCGCCCGAACCACCTAGTGACGAGTGAGTATGGAGTACTTTTTTATTTATTAACACCAACAAGACATACCCCTCCTGTAAATGAAAAAACAAGAACTACTAAAGCCTAGTCCGTGAGCACGTAGAATTTTGTCCAATGACCCCAAGCTACCCATCCTTATCGCTCGCACACTCACTGCGGGCGCCCGTCGCACAGTCGCGACAGCAATATAATTACGCGCGAGCGATAAGGATGGGTAGGTTAGGGTCATTGGACAAAATTCTACGTGCTCACGGACCAGGCTTTAGCTTCCTTAGGTTATTTTTTTAAATAATTGGTAAATTGTATTGCACCAAGTCCCGTTAGCCCCTCGTACTAAATACTTGTGTTATGAAAGGGCTCACCACAATAGTAGAACGACGGCGGGGTTCGGACCCGCGTTCCTCGAATGTTGACTCGGCTAGTTCGACCCCTTCACCGTCCCACTATCGTGGCTTCACATTACAACCAAATACAATAAATATTCATAAAATTCCTTACAGCATCCGTGAATCAATTCTCAACTGCATATACGCGCACAAACCGTACTGGCGTTGCTACAACTACCAGCCCACGTACAGCATAGATGAGTCGGTGCCCAACGTGTGTGACCGAGCGAAACAGAAGCATACGGTCTCGGTGAGGTGGGAGGGAGACGAGACGAGGCCTGACAGGTTCGCCACGAGAGACTGCTACCCGTTGCAGGACAACGAGACCAAGAAAAGGAATATGGAGAAGCTGAACAGGTTAAGGCTAGGTAATATAAAACTTGTTTCAATAGTTTTAAGGTTCTTTTTAGCAATAATCTCTTGGGAGTAACTTCGTCATGATACTCATGATTTAGATCTTCATTTGTCATTCAATAAAAGCCTGTTTTATTACACATTAATCCTGTTACAATTACTAATTTTAAATTGCAAAAACAAATACAATTCCAAAGTTTCCCTGTTCCCTAAAAGGGATGGATTAAGGGACTGCTGCTTGAATTCTCAGGCTAAAATGGAGTATTCAGCGTGATTGTACAATAACATGATATTTCTTTGATTTCAGTGACAGATTTGACGTTGCCACAACACGCTGTAGGGTATATTTACGACCAAGCCATGCTGAAACACAAAAATATTTGTGAACCGTAAGTATTCTATTCATGTTTTTATAAAAAGGCAGTGATATGACGTCACTCCAGTTTACTCGCTTTCTGAATAGTCAATGACCATTTTTGACAGTTTATGACTAGTTTTTGACCAATTTGACCGTAAATGACGATCAGTCATTGTAGTAATTTTCAACAGTACTCTGTATACAAGGTCACATGTATAAAGCAGTAGCTTTAATTTCATAGTTACATAGTAAAAGTAATTTTAGAATATAATTCCTAAAATTACTTTTAATTGTGTCCTTATAGCTACATACCTACTTACTTACTCACTCTTACTTGACATTGAAAATAATATAAAGTTAACAATCAAAGTGCAACCGTATGCCTACAACACTAAAGTCCATTTCAGCGGCCACGTGGAATGTCCGGAGCGTATAATGAGGATACACGAGCGGCACCGAGACTTCGGGCTGTTGGAGCGGTTACACCACATACAGGCGCGGGCCGCGACAGACGAAGAGATATTGGCTGTCCACACGAGGAACCATCTCAATAGGTAATCTTATGAACCGACTTCAAAAAATTTGGTTCAGAACCCTTGGTTGTATGTATATTAGCGTCGACGCTGCGCGGGCGCTGGCAAGATGACGACGCCGCGACGCTCGAAAAACGATAGTGTGGGGGAGGCCTTATTACAGAACTCAATTTGTAAACCGAATTGGAAAACTCTATAAGTACATATTAAAATAAAGATATGATTCTAGATTTTATTTCTTTAAACCAGTTTCAACTTTGCTCTGATTGAGTTCTACTATCCGTTCGCGATAAGTTTGCCGCTGGCGATATGACATCACTCGAAGGAAAGCGTCTATAACTTTAGCAAACTATATTGAAAATATTTTCTATTTATTAATATTGATAAAAATTGTGTATTTCCGTAAAATAAAACACTCAATTGCGTTTAATCACTAATTATTTAGGTTTAATCGCGGTTGGAGGAGGGGACGCGCATTCCACAGACCGGCAAACTTAGCGCGAACGGGTAGTATGGTGGTTATGGTCTCAATGAGCTACCAACATTCGTTAGTTAATGTTAGCGATTACACATGTAAACCTTGAACTTATGATATTTTATAGACTGGATAAAGATCGAGTAATATATTTTCTTAAATAAATCAAGTCTAAAATCAATCACGCTGTTGTCTTAATACATAAATAACTTGTTATTTGTTATGTATTTCAGGCTCAAGGAATTATCATCGACGAAACTAAGAGATCTGAACAGCCAAAAGGAGGCATTTGACTCGGTGTACTTCCACCCGGACTCTCTGGAAAGCGCATCGGTAGCAATGGGGTGTGTCTTACAGGTAACTCATTTCTGACACTATCATTTCGTTATCTTAGTTGTTAATTTGAAATTCAGTATAATTGCTTTTTCAAGGCGACAGTGAATAGGTAGGTATGTTGTTAAGACCTTGTCCTGTAAAAAAAAAATCCGTTTTCTGACGTGCTGAATGCTGATGTCGTGCCACTGCCGCGCCGACAAGTCGGAAAACGGCCTTAGTTGAAGTAGATTGTAGACTGCATTTTATTGATGCATAACAAGACAGGTATTTGACCACAATCGCACCTGATGTTAAGTGGGATGCAATCTAGGGTGGATTAGGAAGGATTTTGCACTTCTCTTCCTTTCAAGAAACCTTGCCTCACTTTGATCTACTTCTGAAAGTTGTCGGTTTTTGCTCCCGAGTAGGGCTTCAGTGCTCCGAAGTATAAACACGAAGCGCACGAAGCCATAATCTAAGAAACATACTTTGTATGTTATATTGTTGGTATGGCTCAATCTTCTATAATATAAAAATAAAAATGAATCGCAAAATGTGTTGGTAAGCGCATAACTCAACAACGCCTGGACCAATTTTGCCAATCCTTTTTTTAATGTTTGTTGAAATTCAAGGATGGTTTTTACGGCGAGAAAAATTCGAATAATTTCCGGGTAAACCCCGGGCGAAGCCGCGAGCGGGAAAACCCTAAAAACAGCTCTTTTTTACGCGGGCCAAGCCGCGGTCGGAAAGCTAGTAAATAAAAAAAATAAAAAAATCCATACTTGTCGCCAGATGGTAGACGCGGTGTTAGGAGGCACGTGTGGGGCAGGTACGTGCGTGGTGCGCCCGCCGGGACACCACGCCGACGCCGACCTGCCCAGCGGGTTCTGTCTGCTCAACGCCGCCGCCGCCGCCGCCGCCTACGCCGTACAAGCTCACGGCCTGACCCGCGTCATGATCTTGGACTGGGACGTGCATCACGGGAACGGGACGCAGCGGATCACGTACCGGGACGACAAGGTTATNTCGTGCGGTCGCCGGGACCACGCCATGGCGGCCGAGCCCTGCGGCTACTGCTTCTACAACAACGTTGCGCTGGCTGCGAGACACGCCATAGACAAGCAAGGGCTGAACAGGTACTAACATCTAGCTAGGAGCGCCATGTGACAAGAGAACTCTCTCATAATGTTAAAAAAGCCCCGCCCTTCTGAGGAGACACCCACATCATAACCCATTGGCCTTTCTCATCGGCATTCACGAGCTAGACCTATTCGCGGTGAGCTCGACTATTGAGATTGACCCCTCGAAGCCGAATGGCTCGCTCAATATAAATCCGTAGACTGAGACGGAGCCGCGGGTGAATGTCCTAGTATGACATATCTCTCTCATAGACAATATAGCTTGCCTGCTGCTTCTCAGAGTCATGTAATATGTTCATAAAAATTTTGTTTGCAGGATATTGATTGTGGACTGGGATGTCCACCATGGACAAGCGACGCAACAGATGTTCTATGATGACCCCAGGTAAGATCCTCAACCTTTCGACTTCAAAACTTCTTAGCGAGTGACGTACAAGCGTGCGTATTCTTCACCATTTGTAAAAAAACACTATGGAAATTAGAAAAAATAACCGTGTGGTGCGCTTGATGGCGATACAGTAGCTTCTTGTAACAGTCAGCCCTATCGCATCGGCACAGTACCGGTCACTGACATAGTCAAACGAAACGGTGCTCGACTTTGAGACAAGCTAAATTACACCATATTGTTGACGATATTGAGTTCGTTTCAGCCGAAAGTCGTCCACTGTTGGACAAAGGCCTCCCCCAAGGATTTCCACAAAGGCCGGTCCTGCGCCGCTCGCATCCACGCACCTCCCGCGACCTTCACCAGATCGTCGGTCCGCCTAGTGGGAGCCTAGGCCTCCCCACGCTACGTCTTCCGGCTCGTGGTCGCCACTCAAGAACTTTCTTGCCCCAGCGACCATCAGCTCTACAAGCTATGCCCCGCCCACTGCCACTTGATTTAAAAGGGATTCTGCGGGCTATGTCAGTCACTCTGGTTCTCTTACGGATCTCCTCATTTCTGATTCGATCACGCAGGGACTTCTGAGCCATGATGAAGATATTGAGTAGACATTTTTTCACCAACCAAACAGACCTAGAAAACTTTCTGTACATGTAATTATTATTCTGTAGTACCATTGTAAAGTAACCTTCATACAGGGTGGTGTATTTCTCCATCCACCGCTACGAGCACGGCGCGTTCTGGCCCAACCTGCGGCAGTCGGACTTTCACTACGTAGGCAGCGGGCGCGGCGCCGGTACCACCTTTAATGTGCCGCTCAATAAGACTGGCATGCACGACGGGGACTACCTGGCCATATGGCACCAGCTGCTGCTGCCTATGGCGCTCGAGGTGACAAGATACTTGATACAAATTTTAAAAATATTGTATTAATAATAATACCAAGACCAACTGACGATAGTTCTTCTTCCTTTTTTGTTGAAGGTCCTGTGGCTGAAATGATTATGATGATCCGTTTGCTCGTCTGCCACCTATTACATAAAAAATAAGATTATTAATTATTCAAGTTTTAAAGATTGTTTTGGCTATTAATTACTTAACAAATAAAATTCAGTTTGTTTTTTACTAATATAATGAAATATGTCTTTGATTTGTTCTAATTCCACATTCAGATGATGAGCGCTCAACGCGCGTTTACAAATACATTGTATTTTATTTTACCGCGCGTTTCGCTACATGTAACTTTGCTCATCATCTGAAGGTGGGCTTAGGCTAATCATACAAATCTTGTGGTTCTAAATGCTTCTAAACTCAATGAAAACTTTTTTCCCAACTTCAGTATCAACCAGAGCTGATACTGGTATCAGCGGGATACGACGCTGCCATTGGCTGTCCAGAGGTACTATATCCTTCTCTTTTACTGTAGCTATATCCGTCTCTTTCAGTTCTCGCCCGAACTGGTAATCGTGTCGGCTGGCTACGACGCCGCGTTAGGTGATGAAAAGGTGGGATAGAAATGTGATGAAAATAACTGCTTTTTCACTTAGTCGCATATACATTTGACCGCATGGAGAAGTCACGCATTCTCAAGAAAACGTACTTGAATCGCTGATTGTTCTGTTTTTGTGGCGTAGAGTGGCGAGTTACCAAAATTTTCATTAATGATTTTTCTTGATTGACTGACTTGCTAGTTCCTTATTTGTTGGGTTACAGTATTTTGCTTGCTAGTTTTTGCTTGTGCCAAATATCTCAAAAGGTTGAAAGGTTCATGGGCTTAATGTTTCTCTCGATGCACTGATGGAAAAAAGACATGAGATAATAGGTTCCTTATGAGCAAAATTTTACTTAATTGTAAGTACTAAAACATTTACGGGACTATTCCTAGTTCGCTACAATTTCTGTGTAGCTAAGAACTACAGTTTACTGTCAATTAGACACAATTAGTGAAGTCCAAGTAGTCATAAATCTACTCAAATAAAGACAAGATTTTGATAACCACCCAGGGTGAAATTGAAGTATCCCCGGCGTGCTACGCGACGCTGACGCACCTCTTGATATCGATATGCCCGACGGTCTGCTTACGGGACTATTCCCATCTCTAATAGCCTCATTTTCAAAAAAATATTCTACAAAAATTCATATTCTTTAAAAAAAAAGCCAATTTTGATTGTAAAAACTCCCAGGGCGAAATGGAAGTGTCCCCGGCGTGCTACGCGACTCTGACGCATCTCTTGATGTCGGTGTGCCCGGCGGTGTGCGTAGTACTAGAAGGCGGGTACTGTGTGCCGTCCCTGGCTGAGGGCGCGGCGCTCACGCTGCGTACTCTGTTTGGCCATCTCTAATAGTCCCATTTAAAAAAAATCATATTCTTTAAAAAAAAATGAGACAATTTTGATTTTGAAAACTCCCAGGGCGAAATGGAAGTGTCCCCGGCGTGTTACGCGACTCTGACGCACCTCTTGATGTCGGTGTGCCCGGCGGTGTGTGTGGTGTTAGAAGGCGGATACTGTGTGCCGTCCCTGGCTGAAGGCGCGGCGCTCACGCTGCGTACTCTGCTTGGACACCCGCCGCCGGCTCTGGCGCCCGAACCACCTAGCGACGAGTGAGTATAATAGAATAAAATAGATGGACTTTATGAACACAGTAAGCACAGTTTATAAATAATAACAACACAAAACGAAAAAAAAATTGTTAAGTTATTTATTTGTTTATTAACACCAACAAGACATAGACTATTTTGGACAATATTTATACGTACTTATTAGGTTAAGTGTTAATTAAGTATTAAAGGCCGGCAGATAAATTTTCATTAATAAAACGCTGGATACTTACTCGTAACTTGCACATTATGTTGTTTATTAATAAAAGTTATTCACTCGTTGAAAACTTGTTTGAAATGACGTTTAGGGAAATATCACTTTAAATGGCATGGAAAATTAAGCATTTGCCGTGACCCCCGGTGACGATGCCCAAACGATGGACAAGACCATAGTGATGTTGCTTCCTTAGGTTTTTTAAATATTAGTAATTTGTATTGTACAAAGTTACGAGTTCTTTCACCACCCGTACGACTATCGTGGCTTCACATTACAACCAAATACAATAAATATTCATAAAATTCCTTACAGCATCCGTGAATCGATCCTCAACTGCATATACGCGCACAAACCGTACTGGCGTTGCTACAACTACCAGCCTACGTACAGCATAGATGAGTCGGTGCCCAACGTGTGCGACAGAGCGAAACAGAAACATACGGTCGCGGTGAGGTGGGAGGGAGACGAGACGAGGCCTGACAGGTTCGCCACGAGAGACTGCTACCCGTTGCAGGACAACGAGACCAAGAAAAAGAATATGGAGAAGCTTAACAGGTTAAGGCTAGGTAATATAAAACTTGTTACAATAGTCTTAAGGTTCTTTTTAGCAATACTCTCTTGGAAGTAACTAAGAATCGTCATGATACTCATGATTTAGAATTAGATCTTCATTTTTCATTCAATAAAAGCCTGTTTTATTAGGTACACATTAATCCTGTTCCAATTACTAATTTTAAATTGCAAAAACAAATACAATTCCATAGTTTCCTTGTTCCCTCAAAGGGATGGATAAAGGGACTGCTGCTTGAATTCTCAGGCTAAAATGGAGTATTCAGCGTGATTGTACAATAACATGATATTTCTTTGATTTCAGTGACAGATTTGACGTTGCCACAACACGCTGTAGGGTATATTTACGACCAAGCCATGCTGAAACACAAAAATATTTGTGAACCGTAAGTACATATTCTATTCATGTTTTTATAAAAAGGCAGTGATATGACGTCACTCCAGTTTACTCGCTTTCTGAATAGTCAATGACCATTTTTGACAGTTTATGACTATTTTTTGACCAATTTGACCGTAAATGACGATCAGTCATTGTAGTCATTTTCAACACTACTCTGTATACAAGGTCACATGTATAAGGCAGTAGCTTTAATTTCATAGTTACATAGTAAAAGTAATTTTAGGATATAATTCCTAAAATTACTTTTAATTGTGTCCTTATAACTACATACCTACTTACTTACTCACTCTTACTTGACATTGAAAATAATTTAAAGTTAACAATCAAAGTGCAACCATATGCCTACAACACTAAAGTCCATTTCAGCGGCCACGTGGAATGTCCGGAGCGTATAATGAGGATACACGAGCGGCACCGAGACTTCGGGCTGTTGGAGCGGTTACACCACATACAGGCGCGGGCCGCGACAGACGAAGAGATATTGGCTGTCCACACGAGGAACCATCTCAATAGGTAATCTTATGAACCGACTTCAAAAAATTAGGTTCAGAACCCTTGGTCGTATGTGTTGCTACGCGAGCGGGTGGTGAGCTACCCATCCTTATCGCTCGCGCGTAATTATATTGCTGTCGCGACTGTGCGACTGGCACCCGCAGTGAGTGTGCGAGCGCGATAGCAACATAATTACGCGCGAGCAATAAGGATGGGTAGCTTGGGGTCATTGGACAAAATTCTACGTGCTCACGGACCAGACTATAGATTTGATTTCTTTAAACCAGTTTCAACTTTGCTCTGATTGAGTTCTATGGAGCTTAGATCTCAATGAGCTACCAACATTCATTCGATAATATTAGCGATTACTCGTTACACACACAACTTATGATATTTTATAGACTGGATAAAGATCGAGTAATAATATATTTTCTTAAATAAATCAATTCTAATATCAATCACGCTATTGTCTTAATACATAAATAACTTTATTTGTTATGTATTTCAGGCTCAAGGAATTATCATCGACGAAACTAAGAGATTTAAACAGCCAAAAGGAGGCCTTCGACTCTGTGTATTTCCACCCGGAGTCTCTGGAGAGCGCCTCGGTAGCCATGGGTTGCGTCTTACAGGTAACTTATTTCTGACACTATCATTTAACTATGTATAACTGAAAGTGTTGTGAATGCTTATACTAAAACGTTTGTTTTTATTTGTATAGAGAACAATAGTGTCTAGACAAACCTAAAAAGGATTTAGGACGCTATTTGGATCAAATATGTAATTGCTCAATAATGAATAATAAATAAATAAAAAATAAAAAAAATTCTTTATTTTATTTTTCTATTATTAATTCAGTATAATCGCCTTTTCAAGGCGACAGTGAATAGGCACTTACAGGGCAGGTATGTTGTTTAGACCTTGTCCTGCATAAAAAAAATCGAAGTTAGGCCGTTTTCGCCGTCCGGCGCGGTAGTGGCACGACATCAACACGCTCGACATACGCGGTACCGAGCGCCTATATTTCAATGGAGTGTTCCTGATTGCCGCTGCCGCGCCGACAAAACAGGAAACGGCCTTAGTTGAAGTAGATTGTAGACTGCATTTTGCACTTCTCTTCACTTCAAGCAACCTCGCCTCGCTTTGTCCTACTTCCGAAAGTTGTAGACTATAATCCGGGCCTAGTGAGTAGGCACTTATAAGGCAGATATGTACCATCTTAGACTGCATCTCACTTAATACCAGGTGCGATTGTGGTCACATACCTGCCTTGTTATACATAAAAACAAAAAGTTATAAAACTTTGTATGTAATGTTGGTATGCCTCAACAAATAAAAAAAAAAATCCATACGTGTCCCCAGATGGTAGACGCGGTATTAGGAGGCACGTGCGGAGCGGGCACGTGCGTGGTGCGCCCGCCGGGACACCACGCCGACGCCGACCTGCCCAGCGGGTTCTGTCTGCTCAACGCCGCCGCCGCCGCCGCCGCCTACGCAGTACAGGCACACGGCCTGACACGCGTCATGATCCTCGACTGGGACGTGCATCACGGGAACGGGACGCAGCGGATCACGTACCGGGACGACAAGGTTAGTGGCACAACCCCACAGCTTGGAGATGAGAATCCCAGCGGCTTCTGTCTGCTCAACGCCGCCGCCGCCGCCGCCGCCTACGCCGTACAAGCTCACGGTCTGACCCGCGTCATGATCTTGGATTGGGACGTGCATCACGGGAACGGGACGCAGCGGATCACGTACCGGGACGATAAGGTTAGTGGCACAACCCCACAGCTTGGAGATGAGAATCCCAGCGGCTTCTGTCTGCTCAACGCCGCCGCCGCCGCCGCCGCCGCCGCCTACGCCATACAAGCTCACGGTCTGACACGCGTCATGATCTTAGACTGGGACGTGCATCATGGAAACGGGACGCAGCGGATCACGTACCGGGACGACAAGGTTAGTGGCACAACACCATAGATTGAAGGTGAGAATCGCGGCGGCTTGTGTCTGCTCAACGCCGCCGCCGCCGCCTACGCAGTGCAAGCTCACGGCCTGACCCGCGTCATGATCTTGGATTGGGATGTGCATCACGGCAACGGGACGCAGCGGATCACGTACCGGGACGATAAGGTTAGTGGCTCCACAACTAAATAGAGCGGCTTTGAGTCGCCCAACGGCTTCTGTCTGCTTAACGCCGCCGCCGCCTACGCCGTACAAGCTCACGGTCTGACACGCGTCATGATCTTAGACTGGGACGTGCATCATGGCAACGGGACGCAGCGGATCACGTACCGGGACGATAAGGTTAGTGGCTCCACAACTAAATAGAGCGGCTTTGAGTCGCCCAACGGCTTCTGTCTGCTTAACGCCGCCGCCGCCTACGCCGTACAAGCTCACGGTCTGACACGCGTCATGATCTTAGACTGGGACGTGCATCATGGCAACGGGACGCAGCGGATCACGTACCGGGACGATAAGGTTAGTGACTCCACAATCCTGCAGATGAGAAGTAAGATTCCCGGCAGCTTTTACCTGTCTAACATCGCCGCTAAGCAACCAATAGAAACCGCAGAATATTACAGAGAAAATAATTTCACTAAATCAGAAATTCGACTAAAAGACACCCTACAGGCTACAGGCTTTATTGTCGTCCGATAGTTGAGATCAATATGAATGAATATACTCGAATCGAAGTGTGCACATTACAACGATTTCTCATACAAACTAGAAGCCGACTTAAAAACTAGTCTGCGGGCTATCTGATAGTTGAATACTATTATCACTTCTTCTTTCTATAGTCATTAAGAGCTCTTTCAAATTAGACGTTTTCGTTTTGAGACGGACGTTTGCGGTCCTCACACTAAAAATTGTATGACAACTTCGTTGGAATAAAAATGACAGCCAATTACCACCAGAGAGTGCGGTCTCGCAAACGCACGACTAATGTCCGTTTCAAAACGCCTAATTTGAAGGCACCTTAAAAGTGCCTTGTAATCTTAGTCACTTAACCATTTAGCAGCCTACTTATTGAATGCCCTTGTGTGACGTCAGATCCTGTACGTGTCCATCCACCGCTACGACAACGGCTCGTTCTTCCCGCACTCGACCGACGCCGACTATACCGCGGTGGGTGAGGGCCGCGGGGAGGGGTTCAATATCAACATACCCTGGAATAAGGTGAGCTGTTATACACCACTACATTTTTATCACCAAAAAAATTTTAACAGGTTATGCAAAAATGTGGGAAAAATTTAAAGTAAAAAAAAAGGGACAATATTANAAAATATTAAATTTTCTTTAGTCACTATTTTACGCGTCACAGCTGGGGCACTCCGCTGCTCGCTAGAGTAGTCGTACGCGCTCGCACATTGCCCCGATCTGTCTGTCTCGCTCACGCCTCGATCACGCTTCCAGTGTTATTATTACTTACTTAACTAACTTAGACCATTTTAATGCAACATTTCAAGTAATTTTGAGTTAGGTACTTGAACAGTTGCATTAAAATGTTCTTCTACCTCAAAATTATATAGTTTTGATTAATCTAATGTAAATATTGAAACTTTATAAACTCTTGATAAAGAGGCTAACAAAAGTGATCGAGTTTCTTGCGCTGCTCCTCAGCACTGTGCATTGGCCCATTTATTGTCTCGAAGCAGCGGTAAAAGTAATAATGGGACATGTAAAGGCGCTTTTTTATAGCCTACTTGTAAAAATAAATAAAGTTATGACATTTTTTATAATAAAACTTTCATAGCCTTTATCATCATTAGCACGATTTAGTTAGCATCAAGTCTTCCTTTTTGCCTATGGAGAGCAATGTGCAATTTGTTGTGTTCTGTAAATATTATTTCAGTGCGAGTTCACATTGCCTCAAGTTTCGTTGAGCGCCCTATACTAGTGAGCGCGTAAAAAAATTACATTAAATGTATGACGGATTGTACAGCGCCCCTAGCGGAAACTTTCAAGAACTAAAATTTTCATATATTATATTTTTTACGCGCTCACGTTTGATGTAAACTCACACTAAGAGTAGGCGCACACCGTTGATTTTTCGTCGGCCGATAGTTTAGTCGGGCAGTTGATCAGTATGGGCATGTATGGGAGTGCGCACACTGCGCTGATTTGATTTGGCCGATTCTTCATACAATAGATAGAATGTTGACACCACCAATCAATTGACGTACTTTTTAAAACTGTCAAAACGAAACTCTCCCATAGATTTTGTATGGTACTACAAGCAAGTGACGTCACTATTTTGTCAACTCACTTAAACTATTTTTTTCAATTACAATGCAAACAAAAATCGTAATTTACAGGTAATTTAAAATTAATTAAGTTTTTAAGACCAGAATGAAGGGTCTTTTAAAAAAAGTTGTGGTTCCGAATAATTGGGGTATGGTGTCAAACTGTCTATTTAAAATCGGGCACAACTATCGGCCAGCTAAAAATCAACGGTGTGAGCCTACTCTAAGCCCTCGGTTATCGCTTGCAGCGCGGCATGGGCGACGCGGAGTACCTGGCGGCGCTGTCGGCGGTGGTNATGATCTTAGACTGGGACGTGCATCATGGGAATGGGACGCAGAGGATCACGTACCGGGACGACAAGGTTAGTGGCTCCACAATGAAATATAGCGGCTATGAGTCGCTCAGTGGGTTCTGTCTGCTCAACGCCGCCGCCGCCGTCGCCTACGCCGTACAAGCTCACGGCCTGACCCGCGTCATGATCTTGGACTGGGACGTGCATCACGGGAACGGGACGCAGAGGATCACGTACCGGGACGATAAGGTTAGTGGCGCCTAAACCACATAGATGAGAAGTAAGATTCCCGGTGGCTTCTGTCTGCTCAACGCCGCCGCCGCCGCCGCGGCCTACGCAGTACAGGCACACGGCCTGACACGCGTCATGATCTTGTATTGGGACGTGCATCACGGGAACGGGACGCAGCGGATCACGTACCGGGACGACAAGGTTAGTGGCTCCACAATGAAATATAGCGGCTATGAGTCGCTCAGTGGGTTCTGTCTGCTCAACGCCGCCGCCGCCGCCGCCTACGCCGTACAAGCTCACGGTCTGACACGCGTCATGATCTTAGACTGGGACGTGCACCACGGGAACGGGACGCAGCGGATCACGTACCGGGATGACAAGGTTAGTGGTGGCTTCACAACTAATTAGAGCGGCTAAAAGCCTCCTGGCGGCTTCTGTCTGCTCAACGCCGCCGCCGCCGCCGCCGCCGCCTACGCCGTACAAGCTCACGGCCTGACACGCGTCATGATCTTAGACTGGGACGTGCATCACGGGAACGGGACGCAGCGGATCACGTACCGGGACGACTAGGTCAGTTCAGTAGCTCAACAATGGATGTGAGACTCCCGGTATCTTTTGCCTGCTCCACAATGTCGCATGACAACCAATAGAAGAATAAAAAGTCAGTATTTATTTGCAAAGAATATGACAGAGGTAAATCATTTCACTAAATCAGAAATTCGACTATAAGACACTTTATGTCGGCCGATAGTTGAGTCGGGTTAGTGATCAGTATCAGCATCGAAGTCCGCACAATACACCGATTTCTTATATAAACTACAAGCCGACTCAACTATCGGCCAACTAAAAGACTGCAGGATGCAGGGTGTCTAATAATCGGATATTATTACCACTTCATCTTCTTTCCATACTCATTAAATGTACCTTGTGATCTAAAGTCCGGTCGCCGAACAGATATTATTTCGTACAATGACCCCAAGCTACCCATCCTTATCGCTCGCGCCTTACGATAGCAAGATAGATAGCTTGGGGTCATTGTACGAAATTCTATCCACTCGGTGACTGGACTTTAGTACGAGTACATTGCCACTTAGCAGCCTACTTATTGAATGCCGTTGTGTGACGTCAGATCCTGTACGTGTCCATCCACCGCTACGACAACGGCTCGTTCTTCCCGCACTCGACCGACGCTGACTACACCGCGGTGGGCGAGGGACGCGGGGAGGGGTTCAATATCAACATACCCTGGAATAAGGTGAGCTGTTACCTTTAATTAGTATAATGTAATAGGCTAGTTTCTTTAAAAAAATCTTTTAGTCCGTCAATAATATCAAAAAATATTGAACAATATTCCTCGTGACGTCAGTAAGTGCTATCATCCTTCTATTATCTCTTACTATGGGCCTCATAAGAAGGCTCAAGGTCACCCAAAGGGCGTTGGAGCGGACTATGCTCGGAGTTTCCCTGCGTGATCGAATCAGAAATGAGGAGATCCGCAGGAGAACCAAAGTGACCGACATAGCTCGCAGAATTGCTTAAATCAAGTGGCAGTGGGCGGGGCACATAGCTCGTAGAGACGATGGCCGTTGGGGCAGGAAAGTTCTCGAGTGGCGACCACGGGCTGGAAGACGTAGCGTGGGCAGGCCTCCTACTAGGTGGACCGACGATCTGGTAAAGGTCGCGGGAAGAGCCTGGATGTGGGCAGCGCAGGACCGTTCATTATGGGAAACCTTGGGGGAGGTCTTTGTCCAGCAGTGGACGTCATTTGGCTGAAACAACATAGATTTGTATTGCCCAAATTACTAATAGTCAGATTCGCCCCTCGGCTTAAGCTAAATAATAAGTGGGCTCACCACAATGGGATTCGAACCCGCGTTCCTCGGATCTCGAGTCGGTCACTCCGACCCTCTGTTCGGCTATCGTGGCTATAAAATCAGGTTTTCCATAAAGACCGGTGCTGCGCCGCCCGCATCCAGGCATCACCCTTAAATTAAATTCCTTTTTATATCGCTTTCCTTTGTCCTGAGCAGGGTTTTCATTTATTCCCGACTGTGTTTTCCGCGAGGCCTGTTCATCTCCGCGAGTTTATATTGAAAACAAAACACGCACGATGGCCCCCTACAGGAGTACTATTCGACAAGGCCTCACATACGAGCGAACATTGACTCACGCACGCGTATTCTTGTGTATGATGGGAAAAAATAAAGAAAATTGTGTACTAAATACTGTGCAGTATTTAACTGCCTAAATAATAATAAAAACACAGAATGTACTTTTTTAAGTTGCCTCAAGACACTGAGAGGTAAATAATAGTTAATATTATTCATGATAATTCATGCTAAATCATCTATTTCCTCCGCCATTTTCTGCAGTTTGGCACCTCACATCACATCATTTTACCGAAGTCAGCCCTATAGCTTCGGCGCAGTGCCGATCACTGACGTTTGTCAACAAAATGGTGCTTGACTCTTGAGACAAGCTAAATTACACCATATTGTTAATGACATTGAGCATAAATTTTTTTCGCTTGCAGCGCGGCATGGGCGACGCGGAGTACCTGGCGGCGCTGGCGGCGGTGGTGCTGCCGGTGGCGGCGGAGTTCCGGCCGCAGCTGCTGCTGGTCTCCGCCGGCTTCGACGCCTGCGTCGGCGACCCGCTCGGAGGTACTGTGGGTCTTGTGTGTGAGCTGTTTTCCAATAACCAAAGTTTTATATGGTGGTGTTGTACAGTTACCACGTCAGGCTATACAGGGTGGAAACGATAAGTGATCTCATTAAATTATTTCTAAACTACACAAGATATCGACAAACTGGTCACTGATCCTAAAGTGCTTCACGAGCTCTTTCAAACGATATCTGTAATAGGTTACAGAATTAACTGGATCTATCCAAAAATTCAATTATGTCAGCCTCCATACTAAATTTATGCCACTATGCTAGCCACACAATAGTAGAAGTGTTATTTTTTTTTATAAAAATAAATAATGTAGCCCTCCCATCAAACCTTTGCAATGCCTTAACTAGGTAACTAAGTAATAAGCACACATGTATTAGTGATAAGACCTTTAATGTACACTTTGTAGGCAAATAAACAATTTGAATTTGAACACTTAAAATTAACTCGTAAATTGCATTCTCATTTAAAATTATTCATGGAAAACATTGGTTTTAGGCTTTACTTGCTATAATATTATCAAGACATGAGTGCCATGACTGTGGCAGTAGTAAATGTATGGATACTGGAAACATTGAATTTTCGGAAGATTCAGTTTATTTTATACAGTTTTTGCATATCTTGTATAGTTTTTAATATTATGTGGTTTTACTAAATGTATGGAGGCTGGAAACATTGAATTTTCAGATAGATCCAGTTTATTTTATAACCTATATTTGGTACCGTTGGATAGAGCTCGTGAAGCACTTTCAGGATCAGTAACCAGTTTTTGGATATCTTGTATAGTTTAGAAATAATCAAGTGAGATCACTTATCGTTTCCACCCTGTATACAACGATAGAAGATGCTACCATGTTTATTTAGATACGAACGACAGGTTTGTACAGACGACAGGACGTCCAGGTAAACACTGTGGGGTCTTATGCAATTGTAATAGGAGTGAATTTGCAACAAAAATGGGTAGTCTGATGTGCTGTTGTGTGTACATTTATTTATACATGTTATTAAACTTTTTGCAGTCAATAACATTCCAAACAGATACCAGAATTGATGGTTTAGAGATTGCAACCCGATATGTTTTTCAACCCGGCCGGATCGGGTTGCGTATATAGAAATATTTATAATATTAGTAGGACTACTCCGCTAGCAAAGTCGAATGGAATTAGTATGTCCTAACGATAAACTCGCGTAAATGCTACTCCATTACGTCTCAGAGAGGGATCAGAGGTGAAATTGTGTAAAGCAATCGTAATCATTTGACAGTTCATAACGTACGATTATTCTGTCAAACAAACGCTTTGTTTGACTGACTTTATCGTACGTTATGAACTGTCAAATGATTACGATTGCTTTACACAATTCCACCTCTGGGTGCCTAAAAAGGCACCAGGCTCGGGTAACGTTTGTTTCAATAATATTTTGACGGTTATTCTGGATACTAATACCGCCCATTGACATCTGCAACACCCAAGTCGCTCGTTCATTAATGATTCTCTACATGGTTTCTCCAGGTTGCAAAGTGTCCCCGGAATGCTACGGGCGCATGACGCATCTCCTGCGGTCCGTAGCCGGCGGCCGCGTCATCCTGTGCCTCGAGGGCGGCTACAACGTCACCAGCATCGCCTACGCTATGACGCTTTGCACCAAGGCCCTGCTCGGCGACCCCATCCACCACCACTACGACCCAAAACCCACCGTGCACTGGTCGGCTGTAGAATCCATCAACAACGTCATCAACACCCACAAGAAATACTGGAAGAATCTCAAATTTCAACTCGCTTTACCCATCGAAAACGTCCTCCCCGAACCCCACCCGTCCCGAGGATTAACGATCACAGATCACAACGAATCTCACGAGAAATTAGCCGAATTATCCTTGGCCAGCTCCCTCGATGAATCCAAGTCGAAGAGCCAGTTGGACGCGTCTTTAGAAATCAACATGGCCAATCTGAGCATAGACAGGCCGAAGTGCGAGGACGGTATCCACTGCGGGACGGATGACGAGGACGACGGTCCTGACGGTTCCAAAAACAAAACTGACGCTGGCGACAAAGAGACCGCGCAGTGTAGTAAAAAACAAAAGAAGTCGCACGATGAAGAAAAAGAAGTTGAAGGGAGTTCGAGTAAAAAAGATGAGCAAAAAACGACGCTTGTGGATTATTTGGCTGAGAACATGCAGGCTATAGTTGATGGGGAGATGTTCGCAGTGATTCCTTTGCCGTGGTGTCCTCACCTAGAGACGATGTACGCCATTCCCGGCGACGTGAAGTTCGAGCAAGGCGTGAAATGCGTGGACTGCGACGAGACCGCCGAGAACTGGGTGTGTCTGCATTGTTTTGTTGTAAGTATACTTTTTATTATTGATATCATGCTATATGGGCTTCTGTGAATTTTCAAAGTTATAGTACCGTACCGTAACGTTATAGTTTAACGCCCGTATTCACAAACATTACTATGAGGTCTCCCAGTGCGCGTGGACGCACAGGGTGACACACGAACCAATCACAGAGCTCCATTCAACGCTGTGCGTTCGTTTGTGAATACGGGCGTGAATTAATTTTGGAGTAATTTTATTCATTAGTTATTTTATAGTTAGGAAGTTAGAAATAAAAAATATATTCTAGAAGTAATTAGTAATTTAATGGTCTTCACGAGTAATAAGTGTGGACATATTTTAACATTCATGTTGGAATGACTAAAATTTCTCACACAAAAGGCTCAGTTGGGTCCATCTTTTTGGAGTCGGTTTTATTTTTTTGTTAAAATTATCAAAGTTTCAATTCGTTTAAATCGATTCATTTCTAATCGTCCACAGATCGCGTGCGGGCGAAGCGTCAACGCACACATGCAAGCGCACTACCGGTCCTGCTCGCACCCGCTAGTGCTGTCTCTGCTCGACCTCTCAGTATGGTGCAACGAATGCGATGCGTACGTCGACCACGAGCTACTATACGATGCGAAGAACAACGCGCATCGCTGCAAGTTCGGCGAGGATATGCCCTGGTGCTACAAAAGCGACACCCTCCATCTCAGCTAAGGCCTATAGGACTGTCTCCCATGTTTCCACGATAATTTGAACTGTATTCACTTATCATAAGGTCCAAACAAATTAAAATATTCAATATTGTGCCCTATAGAGCAGGGGTGGCCAACCGGCCAATCGCGATCGAATAATCGCGAGAGATATTAGTCCAGTCGATCGTGGCAAAGCAAAAAATACTACATGGTTGTGTACTAAACTAAGCTGTTTAATTTAAGATTTCAAGAAGTATGTAAGTGGTAGATCATCCAGGGTTTCGTTAGTAAACAGTAGATCTTATGTCTAATCAAGTTGGCCGCCCCTGCTATAGAGAATTAATTTACACCAGTTTGAAAACGTCTTAGGGTGGATTCGACCAAACAAGTAAATATTAATCTCAGAATAAATCGTCAGTTATTCGACACTGACATATTTCCCATACTGAAACTGTCAATGTGCCAGTTATACCAGGAGTTATTCTCGGATAAAAGTTCGGTGGAATCGGAATCGGAACACGCATTTAAATTATTCAAATATTTTGGCAGCTTTCCGCGCGCTATTTTGTTATACGTGCCAAATGTTATCTTTACACGTTTTCGTGTATTATGAAATAATACTTTAGTGTTGATTACGATACGATATTAACAATGAATGATAGATTGGGGGAGGCCTTTGTCCAGCAGTGGACGTCTTTCGGCTGAAACGAACGATAGATTCAGGAAAATAAAAAAAATACAGCAGCACTTACAACCCGGTATATTCGCGATACCTGAAGTATCCATAGTTTAAGATTTGATCCTTTGGTGCTATATCAAGATTCCTTTGCATTTGATTTATTTAAATACTTGCACTAATTTGGTAGCTTAGCCTAATGAACTAACAATAGTATTTTGATAATACATTGAAGAAAATTTTCGTTATTTAACTAATGCTGATTTGATTTAAATACAAAATCCATAGCCATTTAAAAAAACATTGCTAATCACATTACATATAAATAAACACAAGTGTTTAATTAGAGTAAAAGATAATAACTGGACGTAATATTTGATGTGATACTAATAAATAACGTAAGAGTAGAATCTGTTTAGGATATCAAAGTACTTGCTTATAAATATTACAAATCGACCTTCTTTCAATATGGGACGTAAAGTTATTTTCCAGTTTGAATCTGAATCTCTCTGAAAATTGACCCAAGAATTTTGGGATTGAAAGAGATCAACTTTGTAATCAGCATACCACTCAACTAAAATGTAGTTTAAGGCTGAGTTACTCCACCTTATTTTAACCGTGACTTCTGTACCTTAACCGGTGTTTTGTTGTTGATGGAGTTTGACAGACTTGACGTTTGTTANGTTTGTTATACAGTTAAAGTAAAATGGTGCAACCCAGCCTAAGAGAGTAATTTTACAAAAGAATTTGATTTTGAAGACTAAATAGAAAATACACTAGGTCGATGTGTATTTTTAAGCAATATTTGTAGCTGTTAAATTAAAAATACTAATAAATTGTTAGTAATTTGTTTGCAGACTCAATATCAAAAGGACAATAAAATAACGACAGTATTCATAAAAGAATATTACGTATAAAGGAACCACCTATCAAAACGTGTACGAATGGTTTCACATAGTAGTACCCTCTGAAGTGTGGTTACGATCCAGCTTCAACTGACGTTCGAGACTTTGTAAATTGCATTTATCAAATAATTATGTATTACAGATCAACGATGATGCTGATACTTTAATATGATTAAGTAGTAAATTACACACAAAAATAAATATTTGGTACCTAGCTAATTGAAAAGAAAAAAATGTTTAAAGCTGTACGAGCACACTCGACATTCTCGGGAACTATCCCCTACAAAGGCCACTGATTTAAATAGCGTTTAGAGGATTAAGCATGCGTGTAACGTAACCCTTCCCACCAATACGAATCCTTTATGTCAGAGTACAGAAATGAGGATAGTCTCGAGAGAAAGCAAAATGTACGGGGAGTTCGAAGTAAAATAATATGCCATCTCGTACACTAATAAATCAGAGACACAGGTCCCATTTATTTGCACAAAAAGTCGTTGTAACTTACAATTTTAATAATTCTAATCGTTTCCACATTGATTGACAATCATAGAATATAAATGTTCAAATTTTGACGTATTTTTATTTATTGATGAAGGACCGTGAGTGTCCTTGCGCATAATTGAGGCCATAAAACATTAATGACTATTCTAAACTTATTTTGAAATTCGTATTCGAATACAGAGTTCGATAGCGGTTTGCTATGTAATGTGTATCATCCATTTTTAACTTTCGGTGAAACTAAAATATTGTAAATACATTTTATGTGTGTAAATGTAAATATTCCTTCATATACTTGTGAATTTATTTATTATTTTATACAAGTTATTTTTTCTGACGACTCTTTCCAGGTGGAACAACAATTTAAATTACCCACTGTTACATACGTATTCTAAAAGGGCAGACAAGTAATACTTGTCATACAATTACTCTTTGCTTAATGAATTTTCAATTTACATTTAAACATATTAGTTAATTAATTATGTGTTTAAGATTGATGTACAACTTATTAAAAATTGATACAAATATCATTGGTATACTAAGATAAAGAGGTAATTAATAACTTATAATATTTGCTAATTATGTAACAGTATTTTAGATAAGTCGTACAAAATGTTATCAATACAAGAAAAAAAGGAATTTACTTTGTAATGAATTGTACTAGTAAAGATATTTAATTAACATCTCATATTTTTGTAATCATCTAATTTAATTAAATATTATGTAATGGTAATGTATAACGGACTGTGTAGGTTTTCAAAGTAACTATGAAGAGTTGTATGGCGAAAAAGTGCTCATGTTTCAACTGTAGAAACNGTTTGTTATTAGTTAAGTAAGATGGTGCAACCCAGCCTAAGAGAGTAATTTTACAAAAGAATTTGATTTTGAAGACTAAATAGAAAATACACTAGGTCAATGTGTATTTTTAAGCAATATGTAGCTGTTAAATTAAAAATACTAATAAATTGTTAGTAGTTGTTTGCAGACTCAATATCAAAAGGACAATAAAATAACGACAGTATTCAGAAAAGAATATCTATATATATAAAAGAAAGTCGTGTTAGTTACTCCACTTATAACTCAAGAACGGCTAAACCGAATTAGCTGAAAATTGTCAGGGAGGTGGTTTAGAGCCAGGAGAAGGACATATGATACTTTTTATCCCGTTCGAAAAAAAAGTCTGCTTATTTATTGCCATTAAGGCGGAACAAAGTTCGCCGGGTCAGCTAGTTACGTATAAAATAAAAAGAAACCACCTATCAAAATGTGTACGAATGGTTTCACATAAGTAGTATCCTCTGAAGTTTGGTTACGATCCAGCTTCAACTGACGTTCGAGACTTTGTAAATTGCATTTATCAAATAATTATGTATTACAGATCAACAATGATGCTGATACTTTTATATGATTAAGTAGTAAATTACACACAAAAATAAATATTTGGCACCTAGCTACTTAAAAATACAAAAAAAAGTTTAAAGCCACTGATTTAAATAGCGTTTAGAGGAATAAGCATGCGTGGAACGTAACCCTTCCCACCACCACGAATCCTTTATGTCAGAGTACAGAAATGAGAATAGCCTCGAGAGAAAGCTAAATGTACGAGGAGTTCGAAGTAAAATAATATGCCATCAACACTAATAACCAGGGACACAGGTCCCATTTATTTGCACAAATTAAGCTCGTTGTAACTTACAATTTTAATAATTATAATCGTTTCCACATTGATTGACAATCATAGAATATAAACAGACAAAGGACAATGACCAAAAATGTATGGAGTGTGGTCCAAATGTCCACCACTAACGAGACCTATGTAGTAAAATAGTCTACTAAATACTGATTCATTATAATCAAACCGCAATCAAAAATATGCTGTCAGTAAAAAGTTATGACTGAATGAAAAGTCATATTTTTCACCTTTTCATCCGAAAAATGTTCTCGATATCATTCTATCCATCGCACATTTTGGACTAATCTATGCATGTTATGTCATGTCGCTTAGTGTGCCGTGTTAGGTTCTCGCTAAAAGAAAAAAAAATAAGCTCAGAAGAAGGACAACAATATTAGAATACTTGGAATAATGCGAAAGGGGTTAAAATAGTCTTATTTACAACTGGTGCGGGGTTATAGATGAATTATATTATTGTCTATTATACTAGCTGTGCCTACGACTTTGTAGGTACGCGTGAAAATAGTTTGAATAACATTTCCCATTTTTACACCATTTGTCTTTACTGCTTGGCCTATATTGGTTGTAGGGTGATGTTATAAAACCTAAAACCATCCTTGATAAATGGGCTATCCGTAACAAAAATAATGTTTCAAGTCGAACCAGTAGTTCCTGAGATTAGCGCGTAAACTACTACAATTTTCCATACAGTCATAACTTTTTACTGACAGCTTATTTTTTTTTCGTCCCATACTGAAAGTTGATCTTTATGTAATGGACTATAAGCCAATATAGGTCTCAGTAGTGGTGGACATTTGGACCACTTTTGGTCATTGTCCTTTTGACGTATTTTTATTTATTGATGAAGGACCGTGAGTGTCCTCGCGCATAATTGAGGCCATAAAACATTAATGACTATTCTTAACTTAATTTGAAATTCGTATTCGAATACAGAGTTGGATAGCGGTTTGCTATGTAATGTGCATCATCCATTTTTAACTTTCGGTGAAAACAAAAATATTGTAAATACATTTTATGTGTGTAAATGTAAATATTCCTTCATATACTTGTGAATTTATTTATTATTTTATACATGTTATTTTTTTTTACGAATCTTTCAGGTGGAACAACAATTTAAATTACCCACTGTTACATACGTATTCTAAAAGCGGCAATAGACAAGTAATACTTTTCATACAATTACTATTTGCTTAATGAATTTTCAATTTACATTTAAACATATTAGGGCCGATTTTTCAATCGTCAGATAACTTTTAACTGAAGAATAAACTTGTCATTTTGACATATTTTCCTTACTGAAACTGT